AATGGGTCTCTACTGTGCCACTTCTGACAGCGATTCTGCCAGTCCGGGATCTTCTCCAGTTGTTGGCCGCTGGAATTGATGTTTTTCAGTCCGTCACTGAACACACTAGTCATGAGCAGGAGCACCAAGACAAATGTTGATTTCATCCTGCAAACACACACATTTAGAGTATCACACACACTCTAATATAATTAATATAATCTACTGGTGTCAATACAGATAAAAATGTGTCCTAAATCCAACGCTAACTCACAGCAATTTGTAACTTTATGATTTAGTGGCGGATTCATATGGGTTTGCAGGATCTCTCATTCATACAATTTACTATGATTTGTTCATCCTCCAATGAGGGTTGGGTTTGGTGCCTCCTTTTAATAATCATATGTTTTCATCTGACTAAACTTGTATAAATTGGTAGAAATTAGCCACTAAACTGACAAAACGTAAAATAGTTACATTTCCTTGAGAGATCAGGCTGCCTATCCCATTCTTTCTTGATTTTATCGCTGTTAAATGTACTACACGGTTAAAATATCAGGTAATTAAGAGTTCCCAGTAATAAGTAATAAACAGTAAAAGTCTTTGATGTCCCTAGAGTTTGTGTGTGAAGTTTAGACTCAAAATATTCATTCGTTTTCTTTTCAGCTTAGTCCCTTTATTAATCTGGGGTCGCATCAGCAAACTAATCCAGCATAAGTTTTACACAGCGGATGCCCTTCTAGCCACAACCCATCTCTGGGAAACATCCATACACACTCATACACTACGGACAATTTAGCTTATTCAATTCCCCTACAGCGCATGTGTTTGGACTGTGGGGTAAACCGGAGCACCCGGAGGAAACACACACCAACACAGAGAGAACACTCCACACAGAAACACCAACTGACCCAGGTGGACTCGAACCAGAGACCTTCTTGCTGTGAGGCGAACGTGCTACCCACTGCGCCACCGTGACGTCCAGCTCAAAATACCACACAGATAATATTTTAAAACTCTCTGAAACTGACCCTTTTAGGCTTTAAGCCAAATAGTGCCATTTTGGTGACAGTCAAGTAAATTCACTCACTCAGGGTCATTTATGTTAATAAAGGAGAGATGGCCACTAGTGTGTGGTGCTTTCCCCCTTGATGACACGTACAAAGGGAGAATGTCCAAGTGTTTCTTGCAGACTGCTTTTATCAAGTCTGAATATTTATTCATTTTCCTTTAGTTTAATCCCTTTATTTATCAGGGGTTACCCCCGCGGAATGGATCACCAAGTATTCCAGCATATTTTTTACACAGCAGATGCCTTTCCAGCCACAACCCAGTACTGGGAAACATCCATACACTCTTGCATTTAAACTCACACTCATACACTGTGACCAATTTAGTTTATTCAATTCACCTAGTGCATGTGTTTGGAAACCGGAGCTTCTAATAAATAATAATAAAAATAATAATTAATATAAAAGTAATGTTTTAAATCGGATCACTGTTTGATCTGCAGTAGTTTGTAAGGGGCAAATAATGTTTTTTAATGTTTTAGCTTATGTTATTGTCTTGAGTGTTGTTATTGTGTGATTGTTGCATGTATGTAATTGTTGTCTTAAATCCAGTGTTAAGACAATTTTTCTTTTTGTGCCAAGCAGAATCGACAATATAGTTTAACTTAAAATTTAATAAGTATGTGGCTATTTTGTTGCACGCTGTTGCCACACAACTGGGTTTAAACCCTGTATAAAATAAATTTTTGCATAATGGATCATGATCTTTGCTAAATATTCTAATATCATTTCATTGTACAATGTAAGTTTGCCACTGACAAAAACAGACCTGTGCATTATACAGTAAGATGGGTGCCAGAGAGTCAAACATCTAAAGTCTCAATGTGTTTGATTCATGAGTGTGCATTAATGGAGATTTTTTTTTATTATTATTCTTTATTCGAATCATATAAACCATCTTCAAGACAATCCATTCAATGCAAGGATTGAAATGGTGGTGCCCAACTGAGTCTGGTTTTTCTCAATGTTTTTTTTTTTCTTTGCTTTCCCCAATTGGTGGATTTTTTTCCCCTCTCCGCTGTCCAGACCTTGATTGGCTAATCGGGAGAGCCGGTAGAATTTCTGGTGGGCCGGTCCGTTTTTTTGGCCACGAGGGTCGGTGTCCCTAGCTGCTTGCACTGTCAGCAGTTGCACTTTTTTCATTTATTTATTTATTTAATTGACCATAGCCACACTATTTTTATTCATTATTTTGCCGCAGCCCCGCTCTTTTTATTTATTTTCTCGCAGCCCCGTGAGCAAAATGCAGCCTGCAGGTTAATGATGATGTAACTATCATTCCACTTCAAGCAGCGGCACCTTAGTGAATATTAATTAATATTAATGAATATTACACCTGCTCAATTAATATCAGATGATTCAACTACATTAATCAATCTGACATAACTTGATCAGAAATCTAAAAAGGAGAGAAAAAGAGTAGACATCAATAGCAGCAGATGACAGTGCAATACTTATTCTTATAATACTTATAATACTTATTCTTATTCTATATATATATATTGTGTGTGTGTGTGTGTGTGTGTGAGACGAACGTTACAAAGGACTGGATATCTATAAAGAATTAATGTTCTTATATTCATGAAAAACATTTTTAGTTCTAAAGCAGCTGTGTCCTTGAAAAAGATGTGTTAGTGTCATTAGAAACTAAATTGGAAATAACGTTATTTAATATAGTCAGTTGTCGACTAAGGTGGGCCGGTCTAAGGCTTGAAACTCCAGAGCTCAAAAGGAGTCCCACTCCGGCCCTGCCGCTGTCGCCAATGGCTTGCATGATTTGGGATCAGTAAAGCTACTCATAGAGGAATTTGCTCTTCAGTGTTTAGGCCCTCAGTAGTGATTATTAATCCATACTGAACTGAGCTGAACTGAACTGAATTTAAACGCTGCAAACTGATCTACACTGTTCCAATTTACCATGATTTTTTATGTGAAGCTGCTTTGACACAATCTACATTGTTAAAGCGCTATACAAATAAAGCTGAATTGAATTGAATGTTATTAGATAAAGACAATCTAAGGCATTTCTTTTACATAATTTTACATCAAATAAGCTGTAATGGCGATAGAGTTGTCATTTATTCAGCTTTTCAATATACTGCAGTTTTACCTTTGTGCTGGTCTTGATCTGGTGTAAATGAACACGTCTGGTCGAGTCTGTGCTGAAGAGCAGAAATGGTCAATCGGGTCTCAAATGCTCAGCGAACGCTGATATTTGTTGTGTTGAAAAGGGGCAGGTGTGAAAGAGTAAATAGCTTCTTGAACATTAGACCTTTTTTGCAGTACAAGTGTTGCATCTAATTTTGATATCGATGGTTTAAAGACGGATGAGCTCTTCACACTCAGCTCATGTGGTTTAACACTTAATGAGTGTTTTTAACTTGCAAAACCAAGTGCTCCAAAACTGAAACAAGTCTACAAGACATCCGTTTCTATTACCTACAAAAAAATCTATTGCCTATTCACTAGAAGTCATGAGCCAATAATATTGCGTTCAGACCAGTTTTTATTTATTTATTTATTTAAATTAAACCAAGTAAAACCAGTTTAAATAAAAAGATGGTGCGATTCAAAAGAACAATTCCTTTATTAAATAGAGAACTGAGTGTTTTAAGAACACACTTTCCTAGAACATCTGTTAACAGGCCATCATTTTGATGTGGTCATTTTTCATTTTTGCAATTTAATAGCTTTGTTTAAATAAAACTCACACATAATTGTTTGACTGTTACCAAATATGTGTGTAATCAGCCTGATCTTACAAGGAAAATACCTATTTTACATATTATCAGTTTAGTGGCTGATTTGTATGAATTTATATCATATGAAAATCAGTCATATGAAAATTTACGATTTTTAAAAGGTGGCACTAAACCCCCCAGCCCTAAACCCAATCATCATTGGGGGGCGAGCAAATCCTACAAAATTGTATGAATGAGACTGTACGATTTCATTGGAATTTGCCACTAAATCAAAAAGTTACGAATTGCGATGTTACAGTGTTGGTATAATTCCTTCTAAAGTTGTTATTTTAATAAAATGAAAACACAAAAAAATCCTGAGTATTTCTATTAACTACCATAGCGCTTAAAATGACCACATGCATTTTAGTGTCTGCTAATTTTTCCCTTGACTTTAAATATGCGTGCCTCTGTTGCCTAGCAACTTCCTGCTATCAAAAAACATTCATTTCTGTTGGCAATAACATGACTTTACTTCTCGTTTGGGTAACACGTTACAATAAGATTCATTGGTTAATGCATTTACTAACATGAACTAATCATGAACAACTCTTGTACAGCATTTATTAATCATAATTGAACATTTACTAATGCATTATTAACATCCAAGTCCATGCTTGTTAATGTAGTAGATGAATTGTTCATTGTTTGTTCATGCTAGTAAATGCATTAATTAACATTAACTAATAAACCTTATTGTAAAAGTATAAACCACGTTTGTCTTACAAAACAGCATAATTAGTGCCGCGAAAAACTCGCTGGGTTGGGGGTGGGACATAAAGTAGCTCCTCCCATTTTTTAAAAAGGCATTTTGTTTTTCTCAAAGCTCTGCCAGTGAGAGTGCTTATACTCGAGTGAATTAAATGAACAGCCAATGAGAATAAGGGGGCAGGGCATGTCAGATACTAGAAAGCATTTGATTGGCCAAAAGGACATTCTTGGGCATCCTTACTATATTTAAAGGCTGTATTACAGTACCAAAAAGATGGTATTTTTATATTGATGACTTAATAAAATATGATGACAGACACCCCAAGCTTAATTTTAGCACCTCAATAAAAGCTTTGAAAGTTAATATGAGGTGAAAATATGACATATCTCATATTTTATATGAGAACACCAAGAATGACTTCTATGGTAATTCTGGTAGATCCAGTATTAAAAGAAAATACTAGATGTTTTTATTGATTGATTTGTTACTCTTTCCCAGGTAAGAGCTGCTTCTCCACCCTGTTTCGCTTTGAGGAGATGCAGGAGATTGTGAAGAACTTCACCGTGGTTCACATTGATGCTCCGGGACAGGAGGAGGGTGCCGCGGTTTATCCTGCAGGGTATGTGCTTCATTAATACTGTATATAGCGGCTTGTTTAGTCATTAAAGCTGATTGGTCAACAGTGGTGTTGAATTCATGATACAGCACCATAATTGGCTGCTTCTCCCATTGGTTCTGTCTATTATAGTCTATAACAGATGCCTACATCAAACCAACATACAGTTGAAATCAGAATTATTATCATAGTTTTATATTACTCATTTCTTATCACTGATTTATTTTATCTTTGCCATGATGACAGTACATAATATTTGATTAGATATTCTTCAGTACACTAGTATTCAGCTTACAGTGACATTTAAAGGCTTAACTAGGTTAATTAGGGTAAAGATAGGGTAATTAGGCAAGTCATTGTATAACAGTGGTTTATTCTGGAGACAATGCAATACTAATTTTGCTTAAGGGGGCTAATAATGACCTTACGATGGCTTTAAAACAAGTAAAATTGCTTTTATTTTAGTTAAAATAAAACAAATTAGACTTTCTCCAGAAGAAAAAATATTATACGAAATACTTCAACATCACTTCTCTCTTCAACATCATTTGAGAAATATATAAAAAATAAATCATGAATTTTTGAATAATTTTGTCTTCAACTGTATATGTTATGTGTATATGCATATGTTTTGTTTTTTTTCCAAAACATTTAACTTTATGAAGTTTATTCTTCATGTAATAAAGCATGATTTTCATTGTTGACCTTTTAGCTTAAAGGTAAAAGCAAAAAATGAAGAGAGGGCAGGACACAGAGTAGCTCCTCCCCTTAAAAAACTGCCAATAGCACTTTGTTTTTATCACTGCTCTGCCAGTGTGAGTGGCTGAGCTAAAGCACATCAACAAAACAGCCATTGAGAAGAAGGGGTGGGGCATGTCAGACACGAGGAAGCATTTGATTGGTCAGAAGATTTGATGAGAAACTGAAGTACAGGGCGACGTGAAACAAAATGTTGATTGATTTAGGCAGAAGGGACAAACTGTAAGTGTGGGATGTTTATATCAGGTTTATATCTTCTAAAGTAGGGCTGTCTAAACTCGGTCCTGGAGGGCAGCTGTCCTGCATAGTTTAGCTCCAACTTCCTTCAACACACCTACCTGGGCGTTTCTATAGTACCTAGAAAGAGCTTGATTAGCTGGATCAGGTGTGTTTAATAGGGGTTTTAACTAAAATATGTTTAAATATGTATAAAATATGTTTAACTAAAATATAGTTTTGGACACCCCTATACTAAACTGTATTGGAGCACACTAGCTTATAGACATGCTTTAAAAATAACAGACTGATACTAATATCTAAAAATTGTATTATAATTTCAGGGAACTTTAAATTAATTTTGTCTCATGTTCGTAACCAAACAGGCTCCGCCCCTTTTCCCACTATATTTACAAGACACACCCCTTATTGCTTATTGGCTAAAGTGTGTTTTAATGGCAGTTTGGTTATTCTTTAAGGCCACAGCATGAGTTTTATTCATTCATTAATTTTCTTTTCGGCTTAGTCCCTTTATTAATCAGGGGTCACCACAGCGGAATGAACTGCCGACTTATCCAGCATATGTTTTACACAGCGGATGCCCTTCCAGCCACAACCCAACACTGGGAAACACCAATGCACACTCTTTCACACACATACACTATGGACCATTTAGCTTACCCAATTCACCTATAACATGTGTTTGGACTGTGGGGGAAACCGGAGCACCCGGAGGAAACCCACGCCAACACAGGAAGAACATGCAAACTCCACACAGAAATGCCAACTGACCCAAATCGAACCAGCGACCTTCTTGCTGTGAGCATCAGTTTTATAGAAGAGATATTCTGCTGAGTGCAGAGGAATATTACTGAATTGAATGTTTCTGTTAGGGTAATACTTTATATGCTGTATGTTCATCAAGTTCTGCAGTTTAATGACTCTATTGAAACCACACGGTGCTGCAAATAGGTCTCTTTTAGTTTTGGCTGGAATAAAAGCAATGTTTTTCATTTCTATTAAGAATTTTAAGGTCAAAATGATTAGCCCTTTTGAGAAATGATTATTTTTTTGATTGTCTCTTGTCTAATGACTTTCCTGATTAACACATCTTGCTTAATTAACATATTTAACCTAGTCAGGCCTTTCATTTGCACATTAATTCAAGGGTATTGCCACGTTTTGCAAGATACTAGTATTCAGCATATGAATATCCTCCAAAATATGTCAGAAATTGCAAAGACAAAATAACTTGATATACAATAGTTTTTAAATGTTTTGAAACATCTCTCTGTCATCTGTGAGTATTTAATGTGTGTATGGTTGCTGAGATGTGGGTGCTAGAAAAAGGTGTAAAAACATTAATATGCATAAAGTGTGTCTATTGACACCTATCGAGACGTCTTTAGAAGGTGTCAGTGGTTTGTGACTCACAGACTATTTTTATATTTTGCCTGTTCTAAAATTTAATATATGTATTAGTGTATTAATATTATTATTATTTTTTTATTATTAACAGATACCAGTATGCGTCCATGGATCAGGTCTCTGAGATGCTTCCTGCTGTCCTGCAGTTTTTTAAGTGAGTTTTTTAAAGTTGTTGAATATTTTAATTGTATATAAAGTTTAATGTTTAAAGCGAAATGACTGATGTCTGCAATCTACAGCACTGCACAAACATCTGCATTTTCTGTATTTTAATATTTTATTCCCACAGTAAAAACATTGAAACATCATTAAATCAAGATTTATTTGTTGATTGATTTGTTTATTTTATTTGTGTTTAGTTTCCGCACAATTATCGGTGTTGGAGTCGGAGCCGGCGCTTACATTCTGTCCAGATTCACTGTAAGTCACACAACCGACCTCTGCATTTCTGCATTATTAAATATTGTTCTTTTATTTGATATATATTTTATATCAGTATTTTATATGATATATATTTGCCTTTTTCTGTGTAAATCACACAATACTTGTTTTCATTAACAGAAAAGCCATTATAATAGTATTATTGTTTTCTGGAGTTATGAAGTAACATCTAAATGTTGACAAATACATAAAATAAATTAAAAAAAATAAAATGACCAAAAATAAATAAAATAAACATTATAAAAAACATAATAATAGAAAATTTGTCAAATAAATAATAAAATAAAAAAATAAAAAATAAAATAATATTTTTAAAAATATATAACATAAATAAATAAAATAAAAAGTATTTAAATACATTTTAATGAATAAATATATAAAATAAAATAATAAAAAATAAAATATTATTTTTAAAAATATATAAAATAAATAAATAAAATAAAAAGTATTTAAATACATTTTAATGAATAAATATATAAAATAAAATAATATTATTGTCTTTTTAGAGTCATTGAGTACATGACATTTAAATGCCAATAAATAAGTAAAATAATATGAATAAATAAAATACCCAAAAATGAATAAAAATAAATAAATAAAATAATCATATATAAAATAAAATAAGTATATATATATATATATATATATATATATATATATATATATATATATTGACCAAAAAATAACAAAAGGCAAAAATAAATATATACATTTAAATAAGTAAATATAAATTAATTAATTAAGTAATTAATTTATAGACTCAACAATGCTTAACAATAGCAACAAATAATAATACAATAAACTATTTTATCAACAAATAAAAGAAGTGGCCAGCATACACTCAAATAAAGTAAAAATCTTAAAGATGATTTAACTATACAGTAAAGCACTTAAAACAAACTTACATCTCAAAGTACATTATACACTATTATCATGTGGCACATGAGATTAAAAAAGATAAAATCACATTTAATGAAATTATTGTAATACTAATTAATAAAAGTTAGAAGTGAATTATTAATAATAGGTGAATACTTCATTTATTAACTTTAATGTAATTTCCCCTCACTTGTGGTAATAGGGACAAACTGTTTACCCTCTATTTTACCTTTAAATATATTAAAGAAACCCAAAATATATTAAATACAACCCAGAAATCAGCAGCAGATGCTCAAAGACTGAATGCGGCCATCTGCTGGATAAAACATGAATAAATACAGCCCAAGGCGTTAATATTATATATATTTTTGCTGATATTTAAATATACAGTAAAAATGAGAAACGCTAAAATAAGATCATCATCATCATGACAGTGCATTATATTATTGTTAACTTGAAAAGCATACACTGATGATTACTAAAAATGAATGCAGTTTAGGTTTTCAGTGTTTTGAGCATCAGTATGCTTCAGCTTCTGTCTGCAGATGCGCACTGGCGTTTGAAATAGTGTCTTTGTCTGATGTGTGTGTGTTTCCTATCAGTTGAATAACCCTGAGGCGGTGGAGGGTCTGGTTCTGGTCAATGTGGACCCAAACGCTCGAGGCTGGATGGACTGGGCCGCACATAAGGTTTGCCTCCTTCAGTCTGTCTTCAGAAACACAGAGATTAAATCCCAGACACTTCATTAACATGAGCTTCTTCTTCTCCAGCTCTCCAACCTGACGTCTTCCCTCTCAGACCAAATCATCAGTCACCTCTTCAGTCAGGTGTGTGTGTGTGTGTATATGAGTGTTGCACATTTATAGGTCTGTGTATATAATTCACTGTATATATGTATATACAGCTGAAGTCAGAAGTATTAGCCCCCCTTTTGATTTTGATTTTTTTTTAATATTTCCCAAATGATGTTTAACAGAGCAAGTAAATTTTCACAGTATGCCTGATAATATTTTTTCTTCTGGAAAAAGTCTTTTTTGTTTTGTTTAGGCCAGAATAAAAGCAGTTTTAAATTTTTTAAACACAATTTTAAGGACAATATTATTAGCCCCTTTAGGCTATATTTATATATATATATATATATATATATATATATATATATATATATATATATACATATATATATATTTTTTTTTTTCTCGATAGTCTACAGAACAGACTATCATTATACAATAACTTGCCCTAACCTGCCTAGTTACCCTAATTACCCTAGTTAAGCCTTTAAATGTCACTTGAAGAGTCTTGAAGAATATCTAGTCTAATATTATTTACTGTCATCATGGCAAAGATAAAATAAATTAATTATTAGAGATGAGTTATTAAAACTATTATGATTAGAAATGTGTTGATAAAATCGGCTCTCCGTTAAACAGAAAATGGGGATTAAAAATAAACAGGGGCGCTAATAATTCAGGGGGGCGAATAATTCTGACTTTAACTGTATATATGGGTTTTAATTTGCATTAATAGAATTAAAGTAAAAAAAAATAGATAGTCATTTTTGATTAGTAATATGCTTTCTAATATAATAGTAATAATTCAGTCATTATAATGTTGTGTAACGAGTCAAATGCTGACGTTTGCTGTGTGTGTTTCAGCAAGAGCTGTCTGCAAACACAGAGCTGATCCAAACTCACAGAGAGAGAATCACTAAAGCACCAAACCTGCTCAACATCGAGCTCTTCTGGAAGAGTTACCTGGGGTAAAAACACCACATAATACACTCATAATATACTCAGTTAACTACAGCAATATGGGCAGAGTGGTATTCACAAAACAGCTTAATGATAATTAATAGTCATGCAGACATCGTCCACAGTAAGAATTTCTTAGTAACCGTTGATTTCAGCAGCTTTAAGAGAAAACTATTAACTTAATCTTGTACTGCTGGTAAAAGATGTTTTTATTGTTCAGAATAATCTAAGGCAGTGGTTCTCAAACTGTGGTACGCGTACCACTAGTGGTACGCGGGCTTCCTCCTAGTGGTACGCGGAGGAACCGCTGAATAATGAAAGAAACAATTAACACTTTTAATCCTTTAATGCGTAATATAACATTGATGTGATCAGCATTGGCTGTTTTGTGAAGCGTACGATCACAGCGCTGTGCTTAGAATGTTTATTTTAGTGCATTGTGTCATAAGCTGCTGAAAATCAGTTTCCGAAGTTTAAGAATTGATTCTGAAGCGTGATTTGACTGACATGAAAAGTAGCCAATCACAGTCGACCTTGTCTAGTTGCGTGAAACGTAAGGGCGGGACAAATGCTTTCTGTGTTGCAGAGACAGAAAAAAACAACTTAAAAACAAATGTTTTGTTGGAATAATGCTTCTCGGATGTTTTCACTATAGAGATGTCTAGCAGAGTAATTAAACCGCGGACATATTTCCTGCCTTTTTGATGATCTACATACACGTTTCGCTCTCCGACAGCCAGTCGACTCGCCTCTGACCTGTCACTCCTCTAAATACAGTCTGAATGGCGGCGCGGGAATAGAGGTATTGCGCAATTACTAATTTCTGGAAATGCGGCGAGTGCTTTATTTTAACACGACAGCGCATTCATGTACGCAAATCGCTAAAACAGATATGCGAGCTCTTAAATAGGCTTTTTTTCAAATAAACTGCAAGTGCTCTCATGGTCGCGTGTGTGCTCAGATTGAATACAATCGCGATCTCTCCACTATTAAAGTAGACATTATTTATCTTTGCTCCTTGACTAAATTTAGTCAAAAGTATTCAAAGTTATTAAGTATTTAGAAATAGATTGATGCATGATCGATGACAATGCTAATGGTCTTCTTATTTGGCTGTATTATGAAGTGAAACTAACTTTTAACAAAGGTGGAATTTTTTTCTGTTTCTGTACGACAAAAAAATTATGCTGGAAATGTTTCTGGATGAGGTATTTGTGTGATTTATACATTTAGCTATATAGCTGTCTTAAAGCATTACAGGTCAAAGCAATCCGTTGTTACTTATTGTTTATTAAAATTTACAATAAGGCTCTTAAAGCACTGCTTTGATAAGTGTAGTGTTGTCATATTTCAAATACCTCAAGTAAAATGAAGCGATTTGTTTTATATTTTTACTGACAGTGTACTGGTATTTTTTTAAAAGTTTCTATTTTAGATTAAGATCAAGTGTAAAAAATAAAATCTACATGTGATGTACAGATATTTAAGAAACAAATTTGCCATATTGTAAAGAAAAATAGTGTAACAAATGTAAATAAAAGGTTAAATTTAAATCTTTTTACCATATACTTTAACCTTTCAAAGCTTGAAAATATTGTTTAAAAACTGGGCAAAAAGTGTGTCTATGACTTTAAAGATTATTTGGTAGTTTTATCAGTGCTATTGAAAAAGATTAATTGTCATGAAAGGAAAAATCGACCATACTTCCTTAGTACAAATTCCTGTACATGTAGCTTTGGGATTTAAGCAATTAAACCATTCAACCAGGTTTAAACTTAAAAAAAGTGATTTCATTATGAAAATTTGATTTTTTTTTTCAAAAGTAACCAACTAGTACTTTTTAAAAGAGTACTTTGTACTTTTACCTAATACTAGTATTATTTACTAAAATTTGTGTTATTTTAGCAGTGTAATAGTATTTTTACTTGAGTACAAAAAACATTTCACAAACATTTAGTGCAGGTTTATTATATTATTAATATATGATTAATAAATATCATTATGAATGGTTTTTATTTGTATCTATTCCTACAGTATGCAATGTTTTATGGGTTGCTGAGAATACATTTCAGGTCTTCAATACATAGGATGTCAGTCTTTAAAAAAAAAAAGTGCTGGAAAAAGTGCTTAAAATTCCTTGATTTTCATTAGGCTGTGCCTGTATGAACCCTGTCATATGTACATTTAACATATATTTCAAGATTTGTCTGAAAGTGTATGAATATGACATATAGCATATATTCATAAGGTCCAAGCAACATCTCCAGCTTTTGATGAATAGGCTACTATGAATACTTTAGATTTAAGTACAGCAGTTTTCTTTATACTTTTTAAGAACAGGTCATTTTTAATGAACTTTTAAAAGCACATTTTAACTAAAACTTTTTTTTTTTTATCTGCAAGCACAGTTAATGTTCAGACTATTTCAAATGTTTAAAGTGACTGACAATAATACATAATCTTAATAATAGGAATTAATTTGCATCATTTTTAAACTGTGCACACCTGTAGCTGCTTAATTAGGCCTACAACGCTATTTTTTAATACTGGTTAAAAAATAGCGTTGTAAGGTGGTACTTGGAGAGACAATTTTTTTCTAAGGTGGTACTTGGTGAAAAAAGTTTGAGAACCACTGATCTAAGGCAAAGGTGTCAGAGCCAATTCCTGAAGGCCCACGGCTCTGCACAGTTTAGTTCCAAGCCTATTACAAGCCTAAAGGACTCAGTTAGTTTGATCAGGTCTGTTTCAATAGGGTTGGAGCAAAACTGTGCACCTTTGACACCTGTGCTCTAAATGAGAATGGATGTTTTAGTGGTTTATTATGCTGCATGTTGACTGTATGCTGTTATAAATACAACATGCAATAGAATATAAACAGGACAGTCATGGGCAATTATAGGTTTAAAGATGGTCATCCATTTAACAATAAGCACTATTAAAACACTTTCACAAAGCTTCAAACTTGTCCATTTCACCTCACCTCCACTAGGTGGCGATGATCTCTCTAAACCAGGGGTGTCCAAACTACGGCCCGCGGGCCATCTGCGGCCCGCAATCAGTTTTGTGGCGGCCCGCGAGGCTTTTTATAAATATCAATAGCATCTGGCCCGCTATACAAAAATGAACGTAATTCAATAAATAACCATCGGGTGTCGCTATTACACGCTACTATAAATAGCCACAGTTTTCAGTTCACTTTATCTTCGTTTGGAAGAAACCCCCCTCCTCCCCTATTCTCCTCTTTTACCTGTGATTGGGCGGCACGGCGGTCCAGTGGTTAGCACTGTGCGCCCCACAGCAAGAACACTGCCAGCCCTGGTTCCACAGGACCGGTGGGTGTTTCTGTGAGGAGTTTGTATGTTCTCCCAGTGTCTGCGTGGGTTTTCCCCGGGTTCTCCGGTTTCCTCCCACCATCCAAAGACATTCAACATAACAATCAAGCTTGTTTAATCCCTTGTGTTCCCTTAGCTACCGCAGCAGGGGAGTTCTGAGATCCACCGAGCTCGGGCTCCCCTCTTGCTCTGCCAACGGGAGGAAGCCCCGGGCTCGAGGAGCCCTTGAGCTTGGGGCTCTCTCCCGGGACAGCATGCCAAACAAGCTTTTGTAAATCATCAGCAAAGTGTGAACTCTTGAAATGCCAACGAATTCTCATTACATTATAAGTAGACTGTTAGTTTGGGTTTGGGGTTAGTGTAAGTTGACATGTACTTGCAAAGTTTCTTTTAGTCTGTTAAATGTCTGTTAAATGTCAGTGTCAGCAGATATTAAGCAGACAGTCTACTAATACTCTAATAAACCATCAAAATAAAGTGTATTTTTTTACCGCAATCTGGCAACATACGTTACAACCAAGTTGCGCTGTTGAGTTCTGCACAGGTGGTAGATGCAGGATTTTAACAGCAGTGGTAGCAACATCAGTGTCCCATTCAAATACACCTAAAAAAAAAAATCAAACATCAACAATATGTGAAATAACATCTTTAAAAAAGACAAATATGAGTTGCACTTGTAAATAATTAGAGTTTAGAATCATGTTTTTACTTCTTTTCTTATATCTGTACAGACGCAGAGATCTGAGCCTCGACAGGAACAACACGTTCAAGTAAGAATGAACCCCTAAATGCATGAATCTTGCAGGTGTTTCTCACGTTTGCTGGTCTCATCATGTGTTTGTGTGTGTTTCAGATGCCCGGTGATGCTGGTGGTCGGAGATCAGGCTCCGTACGAGGAAGCAGCTGTAAGAGTTTACACACTAAAACATCAGTGAGCTAGACTGTAGTATGATGTATTCGTTCTGCACCGACGTCGCAATGTCGCATGTTTAGTGTTTCTATGAGATCTGGTTATGCTGTGGTTCTATGACTGCTGGCAGGGTTCGTACGGGTGCTGGAAATCCTGGAAAATGCTTGATTTTTAATATAGTGTTTTCAAGGTTTGAACCTGCTTGAATTTGAAATTGCAGGGCTTAAAATTGCTGTTTAAGTTGCATGTGCGCCCAAATTCTTATCAATGCAAGCTCAGAATATATTTGGGAACATTTGTGTGAGTGCGTAAAATTGTTGGCCTGTGAATAGTTTTTATTACAAAATGTTCACCGAATGTGTGTATTTAGGAGACATTCACGCAGAATTTTTTCCTAAAAATGCCATAGTAGAGGTGGGTGGGGGGGAATTCTTCAAGATGAAGATATTGAGATAGGAATACTTTGCTTATATATAGCGAGTTAGGAATCATCCGATTGGAGAATCAATCATGAGCTGATGTGTGCGAGCAGCTGAGAACAATCATAAACACGTGATCCTCTGGAAATTTCTTTATAAATAAACTGCACTAAAGTAACTAGATTAATTTCCATTTAAATAAATTAAAAAATAGTAAAACATTATTTTTGGCGTTTTTGTTTTTGTGGGTTTTGGACAGCTTCAGTGCTGGAAAAGGTCAGCTATATCTGGCAACACTGACCCCAACAATCACTGAAGCCACACAAATAAGAGAGTCCATTAAATGACATAACATAGATTCAGATGATGGTTGGTGGCCAAAAATTCCAAGTGGTGCTCGACCTCAGAGCCATTTGAGGAGAGCTGAGCTCCAGCGAGGGGGAGCTTAAGCTTGAGCTCCACCTTTTTTGCACTTCTTCTACGAGTGATGTCACTGAGGGTAGGGTTAGGGGTGGGGTTGGTGTACGCATTAAAACAGCTTACAGGAGGAGGAGCGACAGCTCATGCTCACCCTCGCTGGAGCTCAGCTCTCCTCAAATGGCTCTGCAGCGAGCACCCTCTCAAAAATTCGTTACATCTCTAATATCAACCAGGGTATCTGCACATTTTTTAACAGGAAATTTAATACCTTTTAAGACCTTTTTAAGTCCTCTAAAATGAAAATTTAAGACTTTACCTAAACAAAAAAACAACAGGAAAATGTTCAGTGTGTCAACACAGAATGAAGTGGTGAAGCATTAGCGTGGCACAACTCACCAGAGCGACACTCAAGACAGGTCAAAGGGACGCAAAAACTTTTATGCCGAGTGCTGATTGACCTTACAACCCTGACAACAGGGTACCAGTCTCATCAGTTGACCAACGTCTAAAGTGCAAGTCTAAGTCTTCGTTACTGCGTTCATTTTTTTGTTTGCTTTATTTATAGAGCACATTTAAAAACAACAGATGTTGACCAAAGTGCTTTACAAAACGACCAGCATACAAAATCTATACCTATATATAAAAAATTTGCAAAATATATAAAACAGATTAAAATTAATTACAATCAAAGGCAAGAGACAGAAGGTGATTTTTTAGATGAGACTTAAAAGCACCAAGTGAAGAACATGACCGGATCTGTAAAGGCAGACCATTCCACAGTCGGGGAGCTGCAGCAGAAAAAGCCCCGTCACCTCTTGATTTCAACCGCGTTTTGGGAACAACTAGCTGAAATGTGTTTTCAGACCTGATTGGCCTCAATGAAGTGTGCCAGTGAAGAAGCTCAGAGATGTAAGTCAGTGCCAGACCATTCAAACTTTTAAAAACTAGAAGCAATAACTTATATTGAATTCTAAATTGGACTGGGAGCCATTGAAGAGACAATAAAACTGGTGAGATAATAGAGAATTTCTTTGTCCCAGTTAAAAGCATAGCAGCTGCATATTGAACCAGCTGCAGGCGTGCTATTGATGCCTGTGAAACTCCAGAATACAAAGAGTTACAGTAGTCCAGTCTTGACATAATAAAAACATTAATGACAGTTTCCAGCTCTTTAAAAGAAAGAAAAGGCTTCAATTTGGCAATGTTCCTTAGTTGATAGAAACCACTTTTGACGACTGAGTTTATTTGCTTGTCAAACTTTAACTCAGTGTCAAAAGTAACTCCAAGATTTTTTACGTGACTGTGGACCTTAGGCTTGATCGAACCTAATTTATTAATTGTAGATTCACAGACACTCGGAGGACCAAACACTACTACTTCAGTTTTTGATTCATTCAAGTGTAAGAAATTACCAGCCAGCCATTCCTTAATCTCGTTAAAACAGGTGAAAAAGGACTGTAAAACAGAATTTTCATGGACTCATCAAACATTATGATGAAAGCGTCCTTGTTTGCTCGTGAAATCAGTTTCCTCTTTAGGTATGGGGGCTACACCAAATCGTGCTAAACATACTGTTTTGTCTCTTCCACATGTGAACGTACTCGCACACTCTGAGTCAGGGAACATTGCTTGAAAAATTAGAAGGACGTCCTCATTTGAGGTGTACCCACAGTTATTCGGCCTTAAATGTAGCTATATTCGCAAAGCTGCTGAAGGCATTGCTTGAAGTGGACGGCCTTGTGGAAGGCTGAGGTCGAAGTGTTCGATGAGAACATACTTATGGGCAAACTACTTGCCTGCGACTACACATACTTTTTGTGCTTCTCTGCTTTCATGTGTGAATCGAGCGCTTTGCGGCCCATTGTCCCCAGTTTTATCATCTTTTTAGATAAAGCACTCCTCCCTTCATGATTACTGGCTGTTTTCCACCCTCGATACTTTTCGTCCTCCAACCAATTGTCATCAAACAAACATTTGCCCATGCTTGCGATTTTGCACAATGCCGTGGCGGCGAAGTATCAACGCATTCATCAATCACTTATGCCGAGTTCAGACTGCATGATTTTCAAAGTAGTCGTGTCACAGATGTTTTCACACTGCATGACTATCTGGGCTTGCGTTTCGTCGCTGCTTTGTTTACACTGCAAGATGGTTCGGCGACATGGACATTCACATTGCATGACTTTACTATAGGGAGAAACGCAGACAACTTTGTCCAAACTACGTCTCACAGCCAAAAACACGTCGTATATCTTTTGTTATTAACTACATAATGAGAAAGAAGCCTTTAATGGGGTAGAACATGTACATGTTTGCTCACCTGGGTTTAAAGGGAATTAGCCATTTCTCCTCAACGTTGATAATAAACTCATTTCTTTCTGTATGAAATGTCAAACAGACACGGTTGCTCCTGAGTCCTGTCAAACCTCCACTAGTTTTTCCTCCAATTCGTGGGTCCAAATAAACCGAAAAAGACCTCCCGCTGGCCTGCAGCAGGTACACACACACGCACACACAAGTGAAAGCTGCTCTCTCATTGGCTGTAGGTGATCGCTGATGTTATTTTCAGTCAAAACTCAATTCACACGGCATGATTTGAATCGCACAGGCATCGGCGACTCATCGGCGATTCTCTCAGATCACGTCTTTGATTGTTCATACTGTGTGATTGTCACTCACGTGCACGAGCAGCGATTTGCCTGTGATTTCAGGCATTTGTCGGCGATTTCTCAAAACCTGTCGACGAGCCAAAATCGGGGTTAAAATCACGCAGTTTGAACTAGGCATTACTCGTATGTCACCTGTGGAATGATGCAGGTTGCACCCACGAAGTGCTGCCCCCAAATGTTGCGCTGGTCAAAAAGCGGTTGAAAATAATAAATAAAAAAGACGAGTCGGACATAAAATTTAAGATCCCACATGAAATTTAAGACCTCCTTATGGAAAATTACAGAATTCAAGACATTTTCAGACCTTAAAAATCGAAAATTTTATTTAAGACATTTCAAGACTTTTTAAGGACCCGCGGGGACCCTGTCAACACACTTCTAGATTCCTAATGTTGCACATTTCTGCTGAGTGATTGGTTCTGAGATCAATATAGAGTAAAACAAGTCCAAAGCTTATCATGGTTATTGACATGCATTTTATTGCGAGTCAACATAATATGGTTTATCAGCCCAGCCCTAAATGCAATGCCATTGTTTCCCAATATCATGCAGCCCTCCATTCATTCACAAATATATCTGACTCCTATGAAATATCTGCTTCTGTCCACCAGGTGGAGTGCAACAGCAAACTAGACCCAACTACAACCTCATTCCTCAAGGTTTGTGCTTCTGCTCTGTTTAAGTTCATTTGTTTTGGACATGGACATCACACTTACACTGGACAAACCATATGCATTTTAAATGTTATAGCAGACTTGCTCATTTTCAGTGTCTCTCCAAGGGAGACTTGACATTTAAATAAATAAAAAAATAAATAAATAACAATATTAATAAAATATATTTAAAAAATACTCATATACATATACAGACAAAATATACAGCCAAGTACACAACGTTCCTATGCAACTCCCAACAATACTTCCGGGTTTCTTCCCACCACAGCCTCGATTTCGCTTTTAAAAATGGCGGCCGCGTGAAATAAGCCTATTATCTGAGCACTAACAGTTGCTTTGTATATTCAGCCCTTGTTGTGTGTTTTGCCTCTTCTTGTTAAATCGCTGAATGCCTCCTCAAGTGTCAGTCCTTCTGGACAAAGCATCAGCTCATTCACTGGATGCGAATAAACAGTCAAAACAAGAGCAAAAATATGCATTAAATATGTCAATGATGAGTACATTTTGCTGAAAGTGACTGAGAAATGTCTTTTTAATAATTGTTGAGAGTGAGTATTTAAATAAATACATGCCTTAAATAAATCTCTGTGTATTGTTCAGATGGCTGACGCTGGCGGGATGCCACAGCTCACTCAGGTATGGTTTAAAATTGGACTTTTTATCAATACCAATGAATGATTCAGAAATATGTATGGTGTTTTATTGAAATGTGTGTTTTTTACAGCCCAGCAAACTGACAGAAGCCTTTAAGTACTTCATTCAAGGCATGGGATACAGTAAGTGACCGCAGAGGGGTTTTGAATATTTGTGGGTTACATAAAAAAATAAATAATTATATATATATATATATATATATATATATATATATATATATATATATATATATATATATATATATATATATATATATATAATTGTAGTCAGAATTATTTGCCCCCTTTGAATTGTATTTTTTTTTTTTTTTTTTTTTTTTACATTTCCCAAACGGTGTTTACCAGAGCAAGGACATTTTCACAGTATGTCTGATAATATTTTTTTCTTCTGGAGAAAGTCTTATTTGTTTTATTTCGGCTAGAATAAAAGCAGTTTTTAATTTTTCACAGCCATTTTAAGGACAAAATTATTATCACTTTTAAGCTATATTTTATCCCGATAATCTACATAACCAACCATCGTTATACAATAACTTGCCTAATTGCCCTAACCTGCCTAGTTAACTTATTTAACCTGGTTAAACCTTTAAATGTCACTACAAGCTGTATAGAAGTGTCTTGAAAATTATCTAGTCTAATATTATTTACTGTCATTATGGCAAAGATAAAATAAATCAATTATTAGAAATGAGTTATTAAATCTATTATGTTTACAAATGTGTTGAAAAAAATCTGTTATCCATATAACAGAAATTGGGGAAAAAATAAAAGGGGTGAAAAATTCAGGTGGGCTATTAATTCTGACTTCAACTATATATATATATATATATATATATATATATATATATATATATATATATATATATATATATACAAACAGTAGGAAATTTACAAAATATCTTGGTCTATGGAACCTGGTCATTACTTAATATTACAAGTATTTTTGTATTAAAAATCTGTAATTTTGACCTATGCGATGTATTTCCAAAAATACAGCCATCCAACATAAGATACTAGAACCACATTACTTTTTTAAGGCATTACTCCTAAGGGCCAGGACACACCAAGCTACTGCCAAACAACTAACACCAATAAAACCCAACTGTGTTGTCACCTCATGTTGGATTACATCTAGACCAAAAAGCTGCGCATGAGCACAACAAATAGACAAAAGCTGACTCACAACATGAGCTGCAAGTTCTGCATCTGAGTAAGAGGACATGTGTTTCCGCTCTCCAAGGGGCAGTATCTGTCTCTCATTGCACAAAGGGAAACTGAACTTCTGACGTGCACTGACAAAGCATCAACAGTTTAGTATCGTTATCACAGTAATTGACTCACCAAAGAGAAATTCACTACTGAATATAAGTAGAATAATCTAATAATCCACATAGTTGGCAGATATTTGAGAAATGTTACGAAATTACAGCATTTGGCTTGAATTGTTTACTTGTTATGTCATTTCACTATGTCACTTATCGTTCTAGAGTGTGTTTCCCAAACAACGACATAACTCAAGATAACTTTCGTCATGAGCCACGGCTGCGTTCAAAATGGCGTTCAAAGTGCACTTCGAAGGGAACTCAGTTGTCAATATGAAGATCGCTAAAACTGAACTGTAAAGATACTTCGAAATTACAACTAAGATAGATGACTTTAATGTGTTTTTTTAACATTTAGGGCCCGATCATACACCCGGCGCAGTGTGGCGCAAGGCGTGGCGCAGTAGTCTTTTGGTAGTTTTATCTCGGCGTAAGAGTGGTTTTGAGGCGTTGCGCTATGCTGTTTAAATAGCAAATGCATTAGCACTCATTTGTGCGCCCATAGGCGTTCTGCTCTAAAAAGGAAGATGTTCTGAGGTGGACCGCTGGCGCGTTGCTATTTTGAGAAACTATAATAGATTTTTCATTAGACCAAAACTAACCCGATCTAAACTCCAGCGCAGAGTTGCGCCTCGCTTACACACTGCTTAATACACACAAGAGAGCAATAGGCAAATATCTTTACATATGAAAAAATGTAAATATTAAGGATATATATAGGATATAATAAGAATAGATATAGAATATAAATATAAATGATTAAAATATTACAAAACATATTATTTTCTAGCCTACATAAATATGAAAAATCACTGCTTTTATGTCTTCTTCATCTCGGGAGGCTTTTCAGTTCATTCATAACAATTTGCTTTTGTATAAAGTTATTATTATTAGCAGTATTATTTATTATATCCATATTTATATTTGTTTTATTGAAAACAAGCTTAGATTTGCCCACCTGTCAGGTTTTAGACCATATGGGGTACAGCATGTGTTTTAGGATATAACTCAGGTTTTTGAGCTCATTTTGTTATTATTGTTCATTTATTCGTTTGCTGGAAATTAGAACTGAATTTAGAAATAGTTTTGAAACGAATATTTGCGCTTAACCAACAAAAGTATTTATTTATAGACTAATTGATGTCTGTGTGTAAAGGTTTCCCTATCCAAGAGCGAAAGTGAAAGTGATCCATTATCTCTCATTCTCACGCAGTAGATGCTCTGTTTAACTGTTTTCTGTTAAAATAAACTGTGAACTGTTTGCTTGTGAAATGCTCATTTTTTCCACTTAGACTTACTTTGCGTCCTGTAAATAGCGAATGCGCTCTTGGCGCGATGCAGCTGGGTCTTAAAGGGAATGTGAGATGAGATTCTAATTGGTTTATTCTCAAAACACACCTATAACTCATTAAGAAAAGAAACTCAACCCTTTTAGACCATGCGCCTTGGCGCAAGGCAGATTTCCCGTCCTTAAATTAGCAAAAACACGTCCGGACACGCCCTGAAAGCGTTTGCGCCCTGCGTTTTGCGCTCTGCGCATGGACCGTCAAAATAGAGCCCTTAAAATTTAAATTTTGGAACATTCGGAAGTGCATAGTGCATAGGGGAGATAACTGGGAATAGAACACAGACGAAAACTCTGTTTCTAACTACAGCTCTAGAGGTGTAGTTGCAAGCGTACAAGTTTGGGATGCAGTTTGCAAATGTTTGTTGGAAAGATGGAGTTGGGAAACGCCAAATTAATGAACTATGTTTGTAATGACAGAACTTGCAAACTTGGTTGGCTAACGAAGGTTTTCGGAAACACACCCCTGATTGGTGATTGATCAGAGTGCTCTCTTATGTCTGACGCCAATTGGACATGCTGAAATGGCCCTATGCCAGGGGTGGCCAACTCTGTTCCTGGAGAGCCACCTTACTGCAGAAATCAGTTGCTACCCATATCAAACACACCTGAGCCAATTAATTAGGGCCTGAACACCATGTGATAATTACAGGCAGGTGTGTTTGATATGGGTTGCAACTGAAATCTGCAGTAAGTTGGCTCTCCAGGAACAGGGTTGGCCACCACTGCCCTATGCGATCTGACATTAAAAAGAAATGATGTGTGGAAAACACCAAACACTCTAGACAGACTAATGCTGAGCAATGGACTGTCAAAGCCCAAATGGCCAACATTAAGCTTGGTGTGTCCCGGCCCAAACTGTCACATGTAATAAAGATACTAAGATGGATCCAAAATGCAAGTAAAAATGTATTTGACAGAATAAACTAGATAGGACAAGGAAATTGAGTGGGTTCATGAGGGAATTAGGGCTGTAGCAAACGGGAAACAGACAGACAGATCGGGTCCAACAGCCACTCCTCACAGTCCTGAGCACAGACAGACACATATGAGCAAACACAACGAACTGATAAAGAAGCGTCGCCCAGATATAGGCACGATAGCGAGCTTCAGCTGGCGAGCTAATCAAAACAGCTGATTACCGTCATAGCACCTGACCATAACAAATACATGTGGACAACCAAAACAAAACAAACCCACGTGACAAAACAGACACTCCAGAAGGCGCACAAACCTGCAACCGTGACACTAACACTGGAAGTAAGTGTAGTAGTTGTTGTGTGTGAGTCTCAAACATTCTCCTCCTCTTCTTCTTTCAGTGGCGTCGTCCTGCATGACGCGTCTGTCCCGCTCGCGCACCACCTCTCTCTCCTCCTCATACTCCATGGAGGGCTCTCGCTCCCGGTCCCGCACCCTGTCGCAGGGCTCTCAGGGCGGACAGCTGCCTCCCAGCCCGTCCAACACCATGGAGGTCTCGTGCTGAGGAGCTCCGGAGATCCAGAGACGGAGACCAGCCAGCCCTTTAAACTCTGCGGCGCGGCCCGGGCCTTTAGTCAGACCCACATGTAGTGTTAACCAATAGTAATACTTCAAATATTGATAATGATGATATTAATAAGAATAACCATGAAAAAAGAAAACATAAATAAATAAATAACGATGTTTTTTCTCTTAATTACATGTTGAATTTCTAAAAGCGTAAGAATAGAGAAGAGTATATAAGCTCATATTGTATGTCTATCAACTTCTTTGTGGTTTTGTTTTATTCTTTCTCCTTTTTGGTGTGCTTTTATTTTGTATTTTGTATTATAATTATTACGATTTTTTTTTTTCCAATCCTGCTGCTGCTGTGAGAGGAGTGCAGTGTTTGTGGGGGGAGACGGTGGCCGAATGCTCGTCTCTTCTGTAGGTGACAGCCAGCTCATGTCTTCCATTCGCCCTTTACGATAAAGATAGCTATACGATAACAAATAAAAAAAATGCAAGAGAGAAAATACTGTAAGTATAGTTCACATCGATGATTTGTTTGGTCGGTGGGGGTCATGGCCTTTGCCTGTTTTTGGTTTTGCATGCTGGAATTTCCACGTCAGTCTGTGTCTTTGATTGTATTGATTTTTCTGCCGAGTATGCTCGTGTGTGTGTGTTTGCGTGCGCTGTTTGTGTGTAAAGCACGTCATAACATCGAGAACGGATCGTTTGCAGTTTGCGAAGTGGATTTATTGTCATTGAAATAGGATATTTGATGAGAATAAGTGGTCACGCTTTATTTTAATGTACAATTCACTCTATTAAACTAGTAAGTAAGTAATGTAGGTTTATATAGCGCATTTATTGTGTATGGCCATACACCCAAAGCGCTTCACAATCATGAGGGGTCTCTATGCACCACCACCAGTGTGCAGCATCCACTTGGATGATGCGACGGCAGCCACAGGACATTGGCGGTAGTGCTTCACCACACACCAGCTATTGTTGGAGTGGAGAGACAGTGATAGAGCCAATTCGGTGGATGGGGATGATTGGGAGGCCATGATGGGTAAGGGCCGATTTGGCTAAGACATCGGGGTTATACCCCTACTCTTTACCAAAAGTGCCATTAATGAGCAGAGAGTCAGGACCTCAGTTTAACGTCTCATCCAAAAGACAGCGCCCACTGACAGTATAGCGTTCCCTTCACTATATTGGGGCATTAGGACACAGACCACAGGTTGAGCGCCCCCTGCTGGCCTCACTAACACCACTTCCAACAGCAACCTAGTTATCCTATGTGGTCTCCCATCCAGGTACTGACCAGGCTCAGCCCTGCTTAACTTCAGTGAGTCACCGGTCTTGGGCTGCAGGGTGATGTGGCTATGATATGACTACATTATTTGTAGTTGTTCAGGTAGTCGTTGAGTTTAGGTATTGGGTAGGCTATGAACAGTTACTAAACTGTTATATTTTAGTAGTGAATGGTGTGAATTGTTACTCAAAATAAAGTGTTACTGAATGAGTGTTAGCTAGACGCTGTTTTGATCGGGGAAAGTGTCTCTGAATGACGATGGATGAGATGATATTTACAGATGGGAGTCGTAACGTTGGAGCGAGTTTGATGAAAGATTACAAAAACCGATGATTCACCTTTTACTCAGAGTCTTTTAAGATCTTTTAAGGTCTTTTAAGAAAGCGAGTCGATGTAAGTTGTCGAAACGTGCTTCCATCAGTGAGTGTGTTTACAAGTAGCCACAATAAAGTGCTGATCGCTATCAAAAGCTCGTCATGACCCACCTATAGCACTTATCTGCAAATCAAGCAGAGTGAAGCACATGCAAATCAATGCGAATCACATCTGTTGTTTTGTCACAACCGCAAACCTGCATGCCAGTGATCAAGTTGCTCAAATATAATCTAGTTTTTATGCAAAACTGGAAAGTTGAACGCTCAAGAAACGTATAACTATTTTAAGATTTGCTAATTTTCAGATTTGCTTCAAATTAAAATGCGATTAGGAAACTAAAATACCAATATCTAAAGCTAATAATCAGTGTGTTGTAAACAAATCAAAGACAATATCAGGCAGATTTAAAACAAGAATTATTGGACGGCCAATCAAAACACTTGATTTTAATAATCACTCTTCAGTGCCAAAATTCAGATTAATTGTCATTAAACATTTTTTATATTTTGCCGCTATCCTTCAAACAACTAGGTTTTACCTATTTGTCTGTTAGACGTCTTTCAAACAGAAGCAAAATCATCAAATGTTTATTTCACATCACTTCTTTTTTATACAGACACCATTTGGGATATACAACGGGGGCTCGTCCGGGATATTTTTGCACTTCCAATATTTTTTAATACAAATTTGAAACATAATAATGATGAAACATTTCTATCAAGATCTACAACAGCTAATAGCAGCACCACAGAGAGGAAGAAAGCTACGGTTGATGGGGGCTCGTCCGGGATATAGTTTTGATACACCCCATCTTTAACCTATCTACACTCTTAAAAAGGTATTTCATTGGCATCAGTGTCTTCACACAAACTCTTCACAGTGTGAAAGGCACTTTAGATCAGTGTTTCCTAACCATGTTCCTAAAGGCACAACAACAATACACATTTTTAACCTAATCAAACACACCTGAATCAACTCATCAGAACATGAGACTCCAAAACCTGAAGTTAGTGGATCAGACAAAGGAGACCTCCAAGATATGTACTGTTGGTGCGCCTTTGGGAACAGGGTTGAGAAACACTGCTTTAGATCATAGAAATGAACTTCACACTTACAAATTAGAGGTTATTTGGGAACCAGTCATGGTTCTTCCATGGGAAAACTCTCTTTATTTTTAAGAGTGTAAATGAGTGTAAAACCAAGTGCAAATTCACACCACACTCCCCACCAAATCGCTAAAGCAAAAAAGAGTTGCAAATCACCATAAGATTGGGTTTGGTCATTAACACGATGGTGTGTTTTGGTGGCTTTTTTATGGATTATTGGTTTGGTGTGTTTTGTAGACATTCATCAAAAAAAAGCCCTTCATTTACATCAGTGTTTCTCAACCATGTTCCTGGGGGACCACCTTCACTGCATGTTTTAAATGTCTTTCACACCGATTGCAGGTCTTTTAGTCTCTGCTAATGAGCTAATAGTCAGGTTTGTTTGATTAAAGAGACATGGAAAATGTACACAAGTGGTGGTCCCCTAGGAACGTGGTTGAGAAACACTATTATTATTCCCACATGCAAACACACTCAATAACTAGTCTGAGTATGAAGCAATCACAACCAACAACTCTGGTGTAGATCAACAACAAAACATTAAGCTCAGAACGCATGATGGATGATTATAGGAGTGACGCTCTTTATACGAGCAAATACTAATAATTTTGCCATCTTTTGTAGCAATCCATTGTTACTAATATGCTAACACCTATCTTTTGGGGGAATCTAGTCCTCTAGTTTGCATGTAATTACCATGGTGCTTATACTGCAATATTATCCAGCTAGTAGCACAGCGTAGGATTGTTTGCATGGAAACATTGAGGTTGAGCTCATTTGTTACTTTGAATGGGGGATTTAGCGTAACCTGACTCTGGTGTGAAGTGTACTTAAAGCCATGGTGGCGTTTAATGCTGAACCATAGTGACCGATACACAGAGTAAAACCAGACATGCCTGAGCCTGTGAGGTGCTTCAACTCTGGAGATACACAATAAGAGAATAAGTGTGACGATTCAGAGCGCCTGTGTCAATTTTACTTTGCTGAATAACCAGCCCCTTCACTGCCAACTGGGTTCTAGCCATGTTAGTCCAATCGTCAAGCCATCGAGATTAGCACGTCAACACAGCTGTAAAGTTTACATTTTAAAAAGCAGGTCATGTGGTATTTTATAGAGTCCTGATATAGAGTCCCCTACAATAGTGTTTCTCAACCATGTTCCTGGAAGACCACCAACACTGCATGTTTTAGATGTCTCTTTTGTTTGTCGCACCCATTACAGGTCTTTCAGTCTCTGCTAATGAGCTGATGGTTAGAATCAGGTGTGTTTGGAAATGTGCAGAGCAGGTGGTCCTCCAGGAACGTGGTTGAGAAACACTGCCCTACAACATGTTTGCAAGCACACAAGGTCAGAAAACACGGTATATTCTGTATATAATATTTGATTTTGATGCAGTTCATTTAAATCAGGGGTGCCCAAACTCTGTCCTGAAGGGCTGGTGTCCTGGAGAGTTTCCAACTTGCTTTAACACACCTGCAGGAAGTTTCTAGTATATCTATTACTAGCTTGATTAGCTGGTTCAGGTGTGTTTGATTAGGGTTGGAGCTAAACTCTCCAGGACACCGGCCCTCCAGGACCGAGTTTGGGAATCAATTCAAGGCTTGAGGTTTGTAAGCCCCTCCTCTTCAATTAGACATCGATGCTCTGATTGGTCGGTGTTTTTTTTTTTTTTGGTTTTTTTTTGTCTTTTTCACATTTAAAAGTTTTCATAATTTGCATGTAGGCGGAGATTGTGCAAATGTCTTACTTTGACTATGTTTGACAGTAAAAAGATTTGTAAATATAACAACTCAATATAGTGATTATGAGCCAACTCTTTCTTTTAATTAAGAGAAAAAAACGATGAGGAGGCTGTTTACATTGAAGGACGACATTATTACAATTTCAAAAAACCACATGACCTGCTCTTTAAAGCATGTAGAAGTGACATACAGATCATTCAAAAGAGCATTGAAATCGCTGCGAGATGTGAGTTTTCAACGCAATCTCATAGCAATTCGTAACTTTTTGATTTAGTGGCTAATTCGTATGAATTCGTACGATCTAATTTGTACAATTTGGTACGATTTGCTCATCACCCAATGATGGTTGGGGTTAGAGGTGGGGTTGGATGCCACGCCTCCTTTTTAAAATCATGCATTTTCATACAACTAAACTTGTACGAATTTGTACGAACTAGCCACTAAACTGATAAAGCGTTAAATACTTACGTTTCCTCGTGAGATCAGCCTGGAGTTTTTGCAATATTTGCAAGTGATTCTCACTGAAGAATGTAACTAATCCATATTGACAAATTAGCAGCTAATTTGCAAGAATTTGAATACAAATTGTAATGTATGATCGGCATTATCTGATCTTACACAAGCCATTTATGCAATTGTACAAATTTACACAAATTAGCTGGCAATTTACCAAAATGTGAAAGAGTTAGGAATTGCCAAGAGATTGTGTTGGCTATTTTTGACACTAATGCTAACACTTGCCAATAAAAATAAACGTAGACCAAAACTGTTCTCATAACTGCGAATGCATCGTAACAATCACGTTCAGCACAACACTGCCCTGAAAATAACCATCAGTTGATAAAATTTGAAAAGTTCTTCCAGCGATTCATATGTTCGTTACGAGCGTCGGAGCACTTTGTTCGTCAAGATTCTGAAATCTAATTTAATTTGTTTTTATCCGTTTTAGACACAAACGTTGGAAGTAGTGCGACGTGTAAGCGAGAAACATGGTATTTTCTCCTCTTTCTAATGGAAAGGAATCAGCGTGGGGATTTTAATATTCAAGACTGCAATACTGTCGCAGATTTACATGAGCCTTTACCAAAAATAGAAATAGTTGAACTCTGACATGACCTACCAAACGAATGCAGAAATCACCATACAAGCGTGAGAATATTGACAGGTTAAAGTAAAAGCAATGAGGTAAAGGGATGGCTTAGGTTGTGTATGTGTGTTAAGAACGTGTGAATGTAAATGTGTCCATTTTCTTTCTTTCTTTTTTTATTTGTTTTGATTCACCTCAGTGAAACCCTTTTCACCTTTTATTTTCTGTGAAGTAGATTTGCGTCTCGGTGTCCTCATGGATTATACATCAGTGTGCTAGTTCTTGTGTAACTTTTTTAGCCTTAGCACTAAAAAAGAAATAATGTAATTAACAAAAATAAAGAAATAAAAATAAAAAAATAAGATGTCATTAATAACTGAATGCAATCAGATTTAACTGTGTGGCTAATTTCTGTGTAATACTATGAACAACTGGAAAAAAAAGTAATTAAAGGGATCAAAATGACACTGTTATTTGAGTCTCATTTTCATGTGTGTTCTTGTGCAATGCAGAATATGTTATTGTGATGCTGAATAGTGACAATCTACTATCAATCGGATGATCAGTCATTTTTGATTGAGTAGCATTAAAACGTGCTCCGAAATACTGTCGAATATTTGCACTTCTAATATTCCACTTCAAACAATTGCATTTCTAGTGTTTTTATACAAATATGAAATGATAAACATATTTCTGTCTTTCATTAACTTAATATTGAAAATACAACAGCTAATGGTAATGCCACAGAGATGAAGAAAGCTATGAATAATGTGGGCTCGTCCGGGATATATTTGCACTAATAGTAATCCACTTTAAAATATTGCACTTCTAGTGTTTTTTACACAAATTTGAAACACATTAATGATAAAAATATTTCTATCAAGATTGAAAATAAAACCGCTAATAGCAGCACCAAAGAGAGGAAGAAATCTATGATCGATGGGGGCTCGTCCGGGATTTTTGCACTTCTAATATTCCAATTCAAAATATTGCACTTCTAGTGCTTTTATACAAATTTTAAACATTAATGATCAACTTGTATATCAAGTTAGAAAATACAACAGCTAATATGCAGTTCCACATAGTGGAAGAAAGCTATAATTAATGGGGGCTCGTCCGGGATGTATTTGCACTTCAAATAATTGCACTTTTAATGGTTTTTATACAAATATAAAACATATTAATGGTAAAAAATGATTTATTTTTTTGGTGAAATACAGAAAATACAATAGCTTATAGCAGTGCCACAGAGAATAAGAAAGCTATGATTGATGGGGCTCATCTGGGATATATAACACGGAATCGGCCAGGATATATTTGCAATTTTAATATTCCAATTCAAACAATTAGACTTTTAGTGGTTTTTCATACAAATACGAATCATATTAATGATAAGCATAATTCTATTTTTCATTGATGAAAGATTAAATATGAAACCGCTAATAGCAGCGCTATAGAAAGTAAGAAAGCTTTGATTAATGGGGGCTCATTTGCAATGTATTTGCACTTCTAATATTCCAATACAAATATTGCACTTCTAGTGTTTTTTATACAAATATAAAATATATTAATGATCAACTTTTTTATCAAGATATAAATTACAATAGCTAAAATGCAGTGCCACATAGTGAAAGAAAGCTATGATTATTGGGGGCTCGTCCGGGATATATTTGCACTACTAATATTCCACCTCAAGTAATTACACTTCTAATGGTTTTTATACAAATATGAAACATATTAATGATAAAAATTTAATGAAATGAAAATATTTCATTGATGAAATACAATAGCTAATAGCAGTGCTATTAGGAAGAAAGCTATGATTGATAGGGGCTCGTCCGGGATATGTAAAGGGGAATTGTCCAAGATATATTTGGACTTCTAATTTTCCACTTCAAAATATTGACTTTTTTTTTTTTTAAATTCAAATATGAAACATATAAATGATAATATACTTTTCTATCAAGATAGAAAATACAACAGCTAAAAGAAATGCCACGGAAAGGGGTAAAGCTAATATTGATGGAGGCTCGTCCAGGATATACAATGGGGAATCGTCCAGGATTGTTTTGCAATTTTAATAATCCACTTCAAACAATTAGACTTCTAGTGGTTTTTATACAATAATATTTTATACAATAATGATAAACAATTCTTTATTTCCTATTGAAAGATTATAAATACAACAGCTAACGGTTATGCTATAGACAGGAAGAAAGCTATGATTAATGGGGGCTTGTCCGGGATATTTTTTTACTTTTAATATTCCATACGAAACATATTAATGATAAAATTGTTTCTATCTTTAATACAACAGCTAATAGTAGCACCACAGAGAGGAAGAAAGCTATGATTAATGGGGTCTTAATGGGGTATTTATTTGCACTTTTAACATTCCACTTCAAAATATTGCACTTCATATTTTATACAGATATGTAGCATATTAATGATAAACAATATTGCAATCAAGATACAAAAAAAAAAAAAAAACAGATAATAGCAGCATCGCAGAAAGAAAGAAAGCTATGATTAATGGGGGCTCGTCCGGGATATATAATGGGGAATCATACAGGATAATTCGCACTTCTAATATTCCACTTCAAAATATTGCACTTTTGCGTTTTTATACAAAAATGTAACCTATTAATGAAAAAAAAAACAACACAACAGCTAATAGCAGTGCTACAGAGAAGAAGAAAGCTATGATTAACAGGGCTAACAGTAACAGGGGCTCGTCCAGGATATAGCATTTCTTTGGTGTGTATGTTGGGGTGCTGAAGATCCTGGTTCAGATTCTGGATGAGCCCCCATTTGTCACTATAATTCTTCATATAAATATATTTTACATCTACAGGGAGGGCATGGAAAGTTATATACATGTACAATATCATTTTATGAAAGCATGAAAAATGTGTAAAAAAAAATGCCCAAGAAGTAAATCATATCAATTTCATTTCTCCCTATAAATAGTCAATTGTGAGCTAGTTTGACATTTATTACAGTCTAACCAATCCTTGTAAGAATTCAGTTTAAGCCAAGCACTCCTGAATTGGTTTTTATATTGGTTTAATTTCTAAATATAGAAAAGTGGACAATGGTTACTGGTGTGACTCGTCACATTGACGTGATAAGTGTTGATATTTAGTGCTGTCTGTTGCTAGAGGATAGAAATCCCCCATAACGCAAGAACAATAACATACCAAACAACCTGATCTTTGCCAAAACGTACAATTATCCATTGAGTGAGAAAGGGCTTTCCATGAGATCACAGATCTGACAGCTTATAAACCTCACAGAACGATGGCAAGCAACACAGAGCAGCGCAGGTATGTCAACCTTCATTGTCATTACTAATATTATAAGAAATGTAGGCTCATGGTTAAAACTAAATATTTAAATAACCATTTATTTTATTAAACTTATTAATGATTGATTAATAATTGACTTAGGTTCCCGTGGATGACTAGCAATTTTTAATTTTTATTTAGTTAATAGTTATTTGGTATTATTTCAATATTTAATATAAAATATTATTATAGTACAATTGTTTTAATTTAGTATTTAATTATGTAATATTAAATAAATGTATGACCATTTTCCTTCATCTACAAGGAATCTCTGGACAATTGTTTCCAGTACTGAAGATTAAAGACGTCCAAAAAATTACACGGTAATTCCTATTTTTTAATTTTTTTTTATTTTAAGAATAAACTGTATTATAAGTAAAACAAATGTGAATGTTGAACTCTATATTATTATTTAATAGAGACAGAAAAATTTCATAATCATTGCTATATTGCTATAATTGTATGTTTTATATTGAAATCATTTTAAATGGCTCCACACGTTAAAAGTAACATGAGACACAGACAAAATAATTGATTAATTATGACATGAGTGTGTTTTTGTGACAAACACCTGTTGTTAAAAGAAACAAGAATACAAAGAATACAAAAAAACAAGAATACAAAAGAGAAAAACAGTGTTCCCTCAGCATAGCGCGGTTCAACTTTCGCGGACTCGCAGTTTCGCAGATTTCTTTAGTGGCGTTTGACTTGCTTTTTTTACACTGCATTGTGTTCTGCGTCCTGGCTGTAGTCAATCAATCTCCTCCGTGCTGTGTCTCCTTTAAAGTACAGAAAGCTTGCTTAATAGACATTAATCTTCAATCGCTAGGAGTGTAACTGTATTGCATGTTTGTAAGTTTTCTCCCCAACAAACCCCATAGTGTTGACGAAACAAGCTATGATCAATAGGCGCTCGTCCGGGATATTTTTGCACTGCTAATATTCCTCTTCAAACAAACTGCACTTCTAATGGATTTCATACAAATATGAGACATAGTAATGATAAACTTATTATATATTTCATTTATTAAAGATTGAACATACAATTGCTGATAGCAGTGTCATAGAGATGAAACAATCTATAATTTTTGGTGGCTCATCCGAGATATATTGCATTTCTAATATTGCACTTTAAAATATTGCACTTCTTGTTTTTTTTTTTTTTTATACAAACTAAAACATTTTAATAATAAAAACGTTTATATCAACACAGAAAATACAACAGCTGATAGCAGCACCACAGAGAAGAAGAAAGCTATGATTTATGGGGGCTCGTCCAGGATATTTTGCACTTTTAATTCATTAAAGTTTGAAAATACAACATCTAAAAGGAATGACACAGAGATGAAAATAATAGTCATTGGGGGCTCGTCCGGGATATTTTGAACTTCTAATATTTCACTTCAAAATTTTGCACTTCTTGTTTTTTAAACAATTATGAAACATTTTAAAGATAAAACATTTCTAGCAAGATAGAAAATAGAACCTCTTATAGCAGGGCCACAGAGAAGAGGAAAGCTATGATCGATGGGGGCTAGTCCGGGATATTTTGCACTTCTAATATTCCACCTATAAATATTCCAGCTCTAATGGGTTCATACAAATATGAAACATATTAATGATAAACATATTTATGTATTTAATTTATTAAAGTTTGAAAATACAACATCTAAAAGGAGTGACATAGAGATAAAAATAATAATTATTGGGGGCTCATCCGGGATATTTTGCACTTCTAATATTTCACTTCAAAATTTTGCACTTCCTGTTTTTTAAACAAATATGAAACATTTTAATGATAAAAACATTTCTAGCAAGATAGAAAATAGAACCGCTTATAGCAGCGCCATAGAGAAGAGGAAAGCTATGATCGATGGGGGCTCGTCCGGGATATTTTGCACTTCTAATATTCCACATCAAATAATTGCACTTCTAATGGTTTTTATACAAGTATGAAACAATAATGATAAACATATTTCTATTTTTCATCAATAAAAAGTAAAGGAAGATGCTAACCATCGGACAAAAAATTTGACTTCTGGACATGCTAAAGGAAGGTAGAAGTTACAAAAGAGAAAAGTTTTTACGTTAATGAAAATGTGATTGCCAGAAAATAGTGTGAAGGGGTTTGCAGCCTTAAAACGTCTATAGTAATTAAAAAATAAAAATAAAGGGCACTACTTTGTGGATTTCACCTGTTGTGGGCTATATTTGAATATAACTGCCACAATTAACGAGGGACCACTGTAGTATCTATGTAATATCAGTTGAAATGAAAGTAAATCTCTCAGCGGGGGATGATTATACTCTAAACATAACATGACTAGCTTCTCTTATTACAAACCTATAATTCATATTCTGAATGATTTGTTGATGGTTTAATTTGGAATGGTCATTGTGGTAATCAATGTTTCAGTCATCAGCTTTAGTTTACCTCTTGGATTTTAGCAGTAGTTTTGGCATATTTAAATATTATCTTTAAACATTTATAATTGTGTTCCTGAAGCATATTTTTAACAGCAATATAGTTTAAAAAGGTCTGTTGGCTCTGTTTTTAAGGTGTCATCATCATCATGAAGTATTATATTTTCTGGACTATAGAGCGCACCTGTATATGAGTAAAAAAAATGTTAAATGAAATGTTAAAAAAAAAAAAAAATATATATATATATATATATATATATATATACATATATATATATATATATATATATATATATATATACACACAAGCCGCACCGGGCTATAAGCCACAAATATTCATGTTGACAAATTAGGAATTTACTGCATGTTCCGAACTATTTTGTACTGAAACTGTACATGTATGTACCTAAACAGATTCTTTCCGAACATTGCCTTTTAACATGGCAGCAACCTTGCTATTTAAAACAGAATCAAGAGAAAAAAAATCTGGTTATTATTTACCTTCATTTCTCCTGTGTTTGAAACCACAAGTCACTTTAATCATCTACACTAAAACCCACCAAGTCGTCGTCTTCTGTGTCGGAATTGAACAGCCGCACAAGTCCTTCGTCACATGTGTCTCCATCAGTCTCGATCTCCATGTCAAGTCATCCTCAGGTGAAGTTAGCTCTGAAGATGGCCGCTCTCTTCGTGTAGCTTCGTGGATTCTTTCACAGCACTCCACGCTATTAGGATCCACTGACAGACATCAGAAAAGGATGCTTTTCGCATGGGGCCGTGAAAGTTTTTGTGAAAGACTTCTCACCACTTGTAAATCCACATCTTTTTAAATTCTAAGATAGAGCATCCCTAATGGTGAAAAAGAAAAATCCACAGAATAACTGCACCTTTGTAAAAGCCGCATGGTTCAAAACCTAGGAAAAAAGTAGCGGCTTATAGTCCAGAAAATACGGTTGTCTAATTGACTAGTAGTCCCAGCATGCAGCTGAAATAGATAACTTATCTGAGCATGTCGCGTTACTCTTTTTTGTTTGTGCTTTAACTTCAGTTGCTTGGATTTGTGATGATCAGAGCAGATCTGTTCATCTGAATATTTTGTTGTCACCATTGTTGATATCTATATGCTAATTTGATGACTGCTTAACTAAATTGTTTACAGAAGGAATAAACAACAACTGAATTTAATGCTGCGTTCACACCAGATGCGGATGAAGCTTCAAGCACGAGTGATTTAGATGTTAAGTCAATGCAAAGATGCGAATAGACATCCTGCGCCACAATTTGTGCGAATGAAGCGGCACAAGTTAGGCATTTTGTGTCTTTGGTTCGCCACATTAAAAATAATCAGGAGCTTGTTCGGGGGTGATTATGAAGTAGTGCCTGTTGTTGATGTCCCGAAGTGAAAATCCTCTCACCAACTCCGGAGAATAGCTCATCAAACAGGGCTCAGCTCAGTCTGAATCACCACTCGAAGCCTCCATCATACAGGTATATCTTCCGGAGGAGTTGATAAACTTGATGATCTGGGTGCAGCTTTGAAAGGATCTAGTGGAGTTAGACATGGCGCCGAACAAATCTACGCTGTTTTTCAGCCTTCCTAAAGCACATAAAGCACAGCTAATCTCTCAATAAAATCCATGTTAGCTATTTAGCAATGAAGCTAGAGTCAGCAGACAGACAAAAGCCCTGCCCATGACGCAAATCAAGGACTATTCTGAAGTGAATTTGACCTATGAATAAACCAAGTAAACTCAAAATGTTCACACAACTATTTACGTCTAGTTTAACATGATTTATTCGCGCATTTATCATGTGGTGTGAACACAACATACAAAGGTTGGTCAATATGGTTACAGATACTCTGCCATATGAAACAGATCATCTATATCAGTCTTTCCCAACCCTGTTCCTGGAAAAACATCAACAGTGGTTGGTTCAGGTTTCAGAGTCTCTTCTTATGTTCTAATGAGGTTTTAGGTGTGATTGGGAAGAAGCTGAATCTGTGTACTGTTGGTGTGCTTTCAGGAACAGGGTTGGGAAACACTGTGGTATATAATCTCAGCTTAACATGTTTTTTTTTTTTTTGGCCTCCAAAGAAAGATGAAGCACTTGATTCTTTTTGCTGTAACTGCTCTTCTGGTCTTCAATGGATGTGACTGCACCACAACCGTATCATCTGGAACTGCAATTCTAACAACTTCTGCATCTCTAGCATCTACCACGTCTGCAGTTTCTCCAACATCTGCAGCTTCGACAGATTCTCCAACATCTGCAGCTTCTACAGTATCTCCAGCTTCTACAGTATCTCCATCATCCGCAGCTTCCACAGTATCTCCAGCATCCGCAGCTTCTACAGTATCTCCAGCATCCACAGCTTCTACAGTATCTCCAGCATCCGCAGCTTCCACAGTATCTCCAGCATCCGCAGCTTCCACAGTATCTCCAGCATCCACAGCTTCCACAGTATCTCCAGCATCCGCAGCTTCCACAGTATCTCCAGCATCCGCAGCTTCCACAGTATCTCCAGCATCTGCAGCATCCACAGTATCTCCAGCATCCGCAGCTTCAACAGTTTCTCCAGCATCTTCAGCCTCTACAGTTTCTCCAGCAACTTCAGCTTCTACAGTTTCTCCAGCGTCTGCAGCGTATACAATTTCTACGGTGTCTGCAAATTCAACAGCGACTCTGATGAGCACAAATTCAACTGCAAGTGGAGCACCAGTTGCAACCTCGGCTTCAGGTTTCCAGCTGCTCTGTGCAGGTACAAGGCTAACATCTATTGTATGAAATCATGAAGGTGTAAAGATCAGATGTTTTATGGCAGACCCAAATTGTTTTATAGGTGTTAATTTTTTCAAGTTACTCTAGGGGGCTGTTGAGTGCTTGATTCTGATTGGCTGATGAGCATTCTAAGGTGTTTGGTTACTAACAGATAAACGCAGAGCTAAAGTAGTTCCGGCAGGTTTTGAGCACAATACTGCCTAAACAGTTGGGCTTCTAATCAAACTCAAGCAATGTGTATTGTTTCTATGCAGGACTTCTCATCTGGACCCTGAGGCACATTCAACTGAGAAATTAGGAGAGATCTGGAGAAGTGATAGCCAATGCTGGAGCAGGAGACAACTTAATCTTAGCTATTTATTTTCTCAATGTTTATATTATATGGTTTATATGTAAATAAATATAACAGTTCTATATTATTATTGCTTTGTTTGTGAAGTGTCATCATTATAGCTTTTCAGACATTAATATTCAGGATGGCACATCAGCCAAAGTGTTGCGAGAAATAGACAGAAACATATCCTAATTTTGTCACGAACATGTCAGATTATAATAATTCTAATATTATAATAATCTACTAATTCAGTTAATGCAGAGCAGGCTTACCAGACAATGCAAGAGCCAGTACTTTCAGACCTATTGTTTTCTCAGACAGTGCCACCTGCTGTTGGGTCAGGTGAAGTGACAGGTCCAGAGAACCAACTATGATGGTGATGTGATGACCAGGCCCACTACGTAATGGATGATCGCCTACTACTCCCCTTACCCTAAACCCAACCGTTAAAATAGTATGGGCGTTACCTTAGTGGGCGGTACAATGTCCATTACATATTGGACCTGGTCCAGTACATCATCGTGACTACAGACTACAGCAAGGACATCTTGCCACTTTCTAGCAAGTAGCAACATCAGACACATAACCCCTAACAGTAGGTCTTAAAGTGCTGGTCTGAGCATGCAGCAGGGTCTCCTGGCCTGCAGCTTCATAATGTTAATGCTGGGAGCCTTTGAGGAACTGTCTAGCTTGCCTCAACACACCTGCAAGGATGTTTATAGAAAGCCTAGTAAGTGCTTGATTAACTAGCCCAGGTGTGTCTGATTGGAGTTGGAACTAAACTTTGCAGGACTCTAGCCACCCAGGATCAAGTTTGGACACCCCTGGTCTAGCGGGGAACATTCTAGCTGAGCAATATAGGCACATCTTCAGATTTGGGGGAATAAGACAGCAAGCATTTTTCATCACTGAGCTAATATTCACTTGATCTTCCAGCAACCCTGAAGAAACCGACTCCTCTTGAAAATATATAATTTTGTGAATGGTTTAGGTATCACCGAGTCCAAAGCTCTACAGATGTCTGTAGAGATGAGACACTCCTTGTAGAGTGAGCTCTCATGTACAAGAGATGGCATTCACAATCTAGTGGTTCAACCTCTGTGGGGACAATGCACTTCTCTTCTGCCGACCAACAAAACCAACTGGTCTCTAAAAGAAGAGGTAGGAACCTTGGGCAAATTGCCCAGCCCAAATTCCAGGCGTGAATTTTTGACCAAAGAATACCTCCAGGTCCCCAGAACTCTTGTTTGATGGCAGCGTGAGAGACTACAGAGAGATCCCAAGAGGGGAGACGAGGAAGTTAAGACAGAGGGTGGGGGTGCTAATGATTAGAGTGATGGACTTACAATGCAAAGCTCGCAGGTTAGAGTCCCGGTACTAGCAGGGATAGTTTGTGGGAAGAGTAAATAAATATCCACCTCAATACCATGGCTGAGGTCATCCCCTTAATGACACCGAACCCCTAACTGCTCCCCAGGCAGCCCACTGCTCTGGCTGTGTGTTAACAGGAGAAAGTTGCTTTGGATGAAAGCATCTGCTAAATGCATACATATGTAAATTTATTAAGATGGATTTAGTCTGCCATTTACTGGGAGCTGGGAGACATTGTCTTTTTGTAAGCAGTTGCAAATCATAGTAAGTAAACAGATTATTAATATGCCAAACCTTGTTATTTTATGCCATGTCTTAGTGGGGTTTGTATATCATTCTATGTATGTATATCATTCTTGTATATTATTATATTTGACCCCAGATGGTTAATTATTACTAAATGGCAAATAGCTTCGTTTTTAGATTGTTAATTAATGGTAAAGTAAATATTTACAAGAAATGTTTAACTATTAATAAGTAAAGGGATTATTGCTGTAAAAACCAACCCAGGCTCATTCTAAAAACGTAGTCCCGCAGACGTTTTTGGAGACTGCGAAATACGTCCCAGGAGGTACGTATTTTTGTAGTTTGTGTTTTCGCGAATCCGAGAGAGGCCGCTGTGTCGAGTGACTGTCTGTCCAACTGACTAAATGACTGAATGATTGACTGGGCGACCCAACCTCCTCCTCATCCTTTCCTAAACCCAACTGGTTTTACCGATTGACTCGATTGTCGTCGCCGTCATCGCGATCAGCTCCCCTCCGGGTCTCCACTCCGCCGACCTACATGACAAGCTAAACCGGACAAACTGGTTGCAGTGGGAAAGCCCTCCACAAGGAGATAAGCGGTCAGCCAGCAAACGCGACACCCTAGCGTTCGCTTAGAATAATAAAATGCAGCCATATGTACCTCCAGTACCTCCTACTAAATCACGGTCACCAGAAACGTCCGCGGGACTATGTTTTCAGAATGAGCTTGGGTTTGTAAAAACACATCAGTTGTTCAAATGCCTTTGCACTTTTATTCATATGACAGAACTTTTAACATGAAAGTGGGAAATGCACTACTTCTGAATTCTTTGTTCAATTCTGTGTGCATGAATGTGATTAATCACAGAAAAAAAGTGTTGTCCCCAGGGCCGGAGTGGGACTCCTTTTCAGCCCTGGAGTTTCAAGCCTCAGACCGGCCCACCTCAGTTCACGACTGACTATATTAAAATAAGGTCATTTCCAGTTCAGTTTCTAATTACACTATCACATCTTTATTTATTTATTTATTTGTTTGAGAAAACAGCTGCTTTAGAACTTCAAATGTTCAACAACCCAAACAGTATTATATGTCTCAACAATAAAACTGAAAATAATAATTTACTCAGGCGAGGATCAAACCCAGGTCGGCGATGATGTAATCAAACGTGCTAACCACTGGGCCACAACGGTTGTGTAGTTAGAGGTGACTTATAACATTATGAACCTGCAGGCTGGTTATATATGAAAAGAGCAGACAGCTGTATTAAATTAATGAATAAGAAGACTGTGGTCAAGTAAATAAATAAATTAATTTAAAAAGTGTGACTGCTGAGAGCAACAGATTCTGGAGCTAGGGACACCGGCCCTCGCGGCCAAAAAACGGACCGGCCCACCGGGAATTCTCCCGGTCCTCCTGATTAGCCAATCCGGGCCTGGTTGTCCCAACAGACCCTTTTCACATTTCCGGGTTTCTCAGAAGAAAGTCATAGTTAGGGAACATAGTGTGCAGTTAAAGGGAGAACACAACAAATAATTTTAACAATCTTATTTGCTCAAATAATAAACTCCACAATGATGTTATGAGGATGTTCAGAAGAAGGAAAAAAAATGTGAGAGACTGATGACGGCAGCCAGAGAAGAGAATGAGGTCAAATTTACACTCAGCCCCATAGACGCTGCATTACAAATACCTCGCACAAGCGGTAATTTGCTTTTTATAATCTGAAGCAAAGATGATATAGTACATGCATAAATGCATATAAATGTTCATACGTTTAAAAGAAAATGTAAATATTAAAAACTTTAAAGGATTTAGATGACCGTTAAACAGGCTTGTGAAAAGGCTCCATTGTTCCCCAGCACTTGTTTCTTTGCAGGTAGGGTTTTTGAAGCATCTTACAGAAGTTGTCTAAGTTCTTCTGGTTTGAGTTTGTCTCAGTTTGTTCTGCTTCTTCATGTCATTCCAGACAGACTGGATGATGATCAGATCAGATCTCTGTGTGGTGCACTGGCTGCTGTCAGAGACGATAATCTCACAGTACAATTACAAGTAGAGAGAGAAATAATGTTTGGAAATGTAAATTAATACTTCAAACTGACATGCTTAAAAAAATATATATAGAAATAGGTGAGTTCATATGGTACATACGTAAATAACATTTTGATCAATGTCTACATTCGTCACTGAACCTAACATGTCATGACATTGATGTCAGCATGCAAATACGGGGAAAGATTAGGACAGAAAACACATATGGAGGAAGCTAAATATGAACAGGGTTTTTTGGTGAAGTAAACAAATGTGATGCAAAAGGTTATACAAACAATTATACAAGTAATCCAAATAATAAACAGCAGATTAGTTCTGAAATTGAAAATGTAAACTATATAAATATGAAGAGTTCAGATGCAAAAGCCAAAAATAATGGCATTGAGTGAATGCCATTTACGATTTGCATTTTACATAGAACATTTTTAACAAATAGATTTCCTTCTAATCATCGAAATCGCAGCATCAGCGCATTCAGAAATGACGGTTTGTTGGCAAAAGCAGCTAAACGTCACCTGTCATTGACAGCAAAAGCCGCTATATCCCCAGAACCAATCAGATGGTGCGAATGGAATCATGTATTCAATCTAGCAGCGTGCTGATACACCGGCTTTATGAGGAGACTGCTTTATTCCGCTTTCAGTTTTAAAAGATGGAGTTTGATGAACTGGATGAGGATGTTCGACTGTCAGTGAATAGCAAATGAAAACATCACTTACCTCAAAACTCACCAGAAAAAGAAAACACACTGAACTGTCGGGAGTGTAGCATGGGATTCATAATGTGTTTTTGGGCTGCGGCGCTACTTTAAATGAGTCCCATTTACTATACAGTAAACAGCAACTGCGTTTCACGAAGACAGAGTGAAGATGCCGTTCTTTTATCCCACATGGATGCTATGAGGATAAACGAGATAAAAAAAGAGACGAAGACTGTGAGTATAGTGAGAATGAATGAATGACAGCTTCTAAAAGTGTCTGAGAGGCAACCCCTTTTTGTCCAGTAGGCTCACCTTGTGTTTTATCATAGATAAATACACTAGATATCGCATAGGGACCCTGAGCATGCGTCAATAGCGCCGCCACATTGGTACAGTGCTCCCAGGACAAATGTCATCCAACCGCACTAGTCAAGACAGTGTTATTACGTGAAGATGCGGGACTTTAGCGCTGTCTACGGTTGTAGTAATGATTAAACAAAGAAAACAAAGCACAAAGGCAGAACACTTCATAGGTAATAATAAGTTTTTTTCTGTTTTTGTATGTTCTGAACTTTTGTGCTAATCAGGTAACGTTATTGATGATAACAGTCTCTTACTGCATTCACCATACGGCAAAGCAGCTCCAACTCGCACTAAACACTCGGCTTATGCTAGTTTTGTTGAATAAAATCAGCAAACAATGCAAAAGAAATATGACAACGAGATGCTGCGCTGCCAGAAACTTGTATTATTGTCGGCTAACGTTAGTGAAAGAGTCGTTCGGGGGATTCATTCACAAACGAATCGCTCCCTCTGTCAGTATAAGAAGTGAAAGCAGGAGAGGAGCTGTGTTTCAGGACATGATTAGATCAAATTTAACAGGGAGGGTGAATAGTACATTTCTATACACACAAACACAAGCTTTTTGTCAGGAATGCCCGTGCTGTACTGATCTATCAATGTAGAAAAGTGATGTAAAATTATAATTTTCGTAATTAGAAGAAAAAATTACATACTAACATCCAGGAAAACTCCCGATCACAGATATATGTGTATATGTGTATATCTCTGGCTTTGTGTATATTTCTGGCCACAGTCCTCCACTGTACCTTGGTCCCGCATTCATTTCAAAGGAGCGCTACCCTGTAGCAAGATGGCGGTGCTATTGACGCATTCCATCCAATAGACAACAATAGGCCAGGCGACATCTAGTGTATATATCTATGGTGTTTTATTTGCTAATTTAGGCTATTTTTTAAAACTATATGTAACCCCGCTGATCCTACACCATTTTTAGAGGTCAGAGGAGTGAGATTTACCTGCACAGCACTTCACTAGCTGGCCTCTGTTACGTATGCATTATTTGTAGTACTTTATTATACCTATACGGCAGATCAGCTTTTTATATTATTGGACAATGCACAGATATTGATGTTTCACAATGTTTTACACTACATTATTTCAGTCTACCAAGCCAATAGTTTACAATGTTTGCAATGTTTACAATGCTCTACTTACATTAAATCTAAATCCCAAATATCAGTAATGACAACAGATTGTTCAGATTTAATTAATGTCCGTTTTAATGTTATTGATTAATGAACTTTACCGATTTCATTCATTCATTTTCCTTCTGCTTTTTCCCTGGTTTACCACAGTGGAATGAACCGCCACTTACTTGACATATTTATTTTTTCAGGTGGTTTGTGTATGTGTTTTATGTTTGGTAAAATAATCTCTAATTGCATCTTTTGTGATTTTCAGCTAATTACATTACATACATTACATGATTGGATTTAGAGGTTTTTGCAATAAAAGTGGATTTAGCTGGTTTCGACACAAAAGGTTGTCTAAAGTGACATTTATAAAAAAAACGTTATTTTATTCACCAGCTAATAACCTTATCATTACATATAAAATGAGATTTATATGTAAATATAAATGGCACCTGATAGAAAAGGAACCTGATAGAAAAATGCTCATTCTCGAGAAAAGAGGTTTGATGGATTTAGAGGGTTTTGCATCTGAACTCTTCATATATATATATATATATATATATATATATATATATATATATATACATATATATATATATATATATATATATATATATTAGGGGTGTCACGATTTCGATTTTTAATCGGAATCGATCAAAATTTATGCTCAATTTCGATTAACAAATCAAAGAATAGAATCGTTGATGCTGCCACGCCCCCATGTCACGTCAGCTTGGCTTGCCAAGCGGGAAAAAACAGGCTTGTTGAAGTGCTTGTTAAACTGCAGAAGCAGGAGACCCGTCGACAGAGCTTAAACCCTTTCCTCTTTCAATGAAGTCTCCGGTGTGTAAGTATTTCGGATTTCCAGTGAGTTATGTTGACAACCTTCGTGTTGTCGACAAAAAAAAAAACACAGTTTTGCAAGCTCTGCTATGTACGTATTACGTACGGTTCGTCTGATAGACAACACCGGCATTGCGATCCTCCGCCCGCCCCCGTTGCTAATCCGCTCGCGAAAAGTACACACTCAGGCCCTGTTTACACTGTCTTTGTTTTTAAATGGCATTTTAGAACGACAACGATTTGACATCCACAGTGGCGTGTAGCATTTCTGAGCAGCCCTCCTTCCTCTCTACCTCTGAAAATGCACATCACGTGACCACACAGACACAGACGCACATACAGCCATGCGCTCGAGACAGCAGGTCCAGGCAGTCAGAGGACTGCTTCAATCTTTCACTCACTTGTACTTAACGTTAGTCATTTTAGCGAACACCTCAGATACTGTTAGCTGGTTCCTGTTGGTTGTGCGTCTTTTTTACCGACGCCATTATAACGACACAGATCACTGCCTATTCACGAGTCCCGCAGAAAAAGTGATTGACAGGTGGTAATTATGTGTGTATCTTGCCTTTATTCATTTACTGTATGATTTGTTTATGGGTAAAACAAAGACCATGCAGGTCAGGTAGTTTAAACGGTAGGCTACAAATAATTAATTGGTCATTAATTAATTAATTATTCATAATCGACAATCGAATCGAATCGTGCCTTTAGAATCGAAAATGTAATCGAATCGAGGATTTGGAGGATAGTGACACCCTTAAAATATATATATATATATATATATATATATATATATATATATATATATATATATATAGCAACTCCTCTCCTCGATTTGGTATTACTCTGAGGGGGTTCTACAGAATTTTGGCTGTACTGAATAAGCACTCTCTTAAAACAAATTAAATCAAGTGTACACTTTTTATTTTAGCTACGTGTAAAGTTCTCATAAAATAAATCAATCACAACAAAAAATAAAGGCACTTTAAAGCCAGAAACAAAAAGTCTTTCTAAAAAAGAAGTGAGTGACCACTTATTTAGAGCACTTGAAAGCGATCCAATAAGTCCTTAAGGTGTCCTGTGACTCCTTAGAAGAGAGGTGGTTGTTTGTAGGACAGCAGTCAAGTTGCCCTGTTTAAGTGAAATTGTTGCTCCCCGAGAAGTTGGTTAACTTAGCTTCGCCAGTGAGAAGCAGCAAGCCAACATACGCACAAGGACAGCAGCATATAAATAGTCAATTGAGCGATAACTTAAAAGTTCTCAACTACTGGACTAAATGTGAAGGCCGGTAGCGAAAGTGATCCATGTGGTGGCCACTCTACCAAACACTCCTTCTTACTCTATGGTAAGTGACTTTTTATACAGGTGCAAACCAACCTAGTGCCCCTGGAGGTCGGAAGCAGTATTACATGTCCACATACCAAACAATACACAATGAAAGAAAATAAATAAATAAATCAGAAAATAATAATAGTACATTTAACATGTTACTATATATATATATATATATATATATATATATATATAGGGCGAAGCAGTGGCGCAGTAAGAAGTGCTGTCGCCTCACGAAGGTCGCTGGGTCGAACCTTGGCTCAGTTGGCGCTTCTGTGTGGAGTTTGCATGTTCTCCTCGCGTTTGCGTGGGTTTCCTCTGGGTGCTCCGGCTTCCCCCACAGTCCAAAGACATGCAGTACAGGTGAATTGGGTAGACTAAATTGTCCCTAGTGTATGTGTGTGTTTAAATGTGTGTGTGGAGGTTTCTCAGAGATGGATTGCGGCTGTGTTGCATCCGCTGTGTTGGATAAGTTGGCGGTTCATTCCGCTGAGGCGACCCCGGATTAATAAAGGGACTAAGTCGACAAGTAAATGAATGAATTCTACATATATATATATATATATATATATATATATATATATATATATATATATATATATATATATATATATAAATATTTATTTTATTTTTTTTACCCACATATTTACACATACAGTTGAAGTCAGAATTATCCTGTTTATGTTTTCCCCAATTTCTGTTTAACAGAGGGAGGATTGTTTCAACACATTTCTAATCATAATAGTTTTAATAACTCATCTCTAATAACTGATTTAGTTAATTTTTTCCATGATGACAGTAAATAATATTTGAGTAGATATTCTTCAAGACACTTTTAAAAGCTTAACTAGAGTAATTAGGTTAACTAGGCAGGTTAGGGTAATTAGGGAAGTTATTGTATAATGATAATTTGTTCTGTAGACAGTCTGAAAAAATATATAGCTTAAAGAGGCTAATAATATTGACCTTAAAATGGTTTTTAAAAAATTAAAAACGGCTTTTATTCTAGCCGAAATACATCAAATAAGACTTTCTCTAGAAGAAAAAATATTATCAGACATACTGTGAAAATGTTCTCAATCTGTTAAACATCATTTGGGAAATATTGTAAAAAGAGAGAAAAAAAAATCAACTGTATATATATTTTGTTCTTTTTTTTCCAAATCATATTGACTGCTGCTGAGGGACACGGATGTCAATATGCAAAAAAAATGAAAATAGAAATAAAAACAACAAATAAAAAAAGATGGGGAAAGAAATGAAGAAGTAGAGGAAGCAAAATATGAAAATTAATTTAGAGAAGTAAACATGTTGTGACGTGTTGAATGACGGATGAGAGCAGATATAGAATAATCACACAGTCTGAATCTGCAGACAGAAACATCAGACTGAGGACAGAAACACACCAGCTCTGAGGTAAGAACAACTTACATCTACATTATACACACAAACACAATTCTGACACTTTGTTGATGCTCTTATTAATGGAGTAGTCTGAATTCATGTTTCTCTTTTACCTGATCAAATGTTTAATCTAGAAAGAATCTGATTGTCTATATTTCTCTTCATTAGAAATGGCTCAGACTCTATATGTCCCTCTTCTCCTCATTGGTGAGTGTGTTTGCAGTTTTATTTATGGTTTATAGTTTCATTAGGTTTGACTCTTTTCTGAAAAGCATTACAGCAAAGTGTCTCTTTCACAGCTCTCTGCTCCATATCTGAATGTGTTCAGCGTCAGTATCACTTTATAAAAGAGAAGAAGAACTGGACTGAAGCTCAGAGATACTGCAGAGAGAAATACACAGATCTGGCCACTGTTGACAATACAAATTACATGATCAAGAGTGAGAAAAATGTACTTGTCTGGCAGAGGATAAAAAGTTTCAACTATAGATTTAGGCAGAAAATCTGGATTGGTCTTCAGAGGATGAGTGTTTATAAATGGCATTGGTCATCAGGTGATCCTGTGCTCTTTCTGAACTGGGCATCTGGACAACCGGTCAACAGTGATAATTGTGCTGTTGTAAGAAATGGACAGTGGACTGTTTGGCCCTGTAATGCCATCTCATCTTTCATCTGCTCCAGTGAGTACAAACCTCTATGAAAGAATAATAGATAGTGGGTCGAACGAGAAAATTTGATATGTTTGGCAGTATGTCTGAGATTTATTGTTACAGTTGAACTGAAGAGTAGAGTCTGATGTTAGGAAGACAACTGGCCAAATATGTATGTTTAAACAAAGAATAAAAAACAATAGTTATAATATGGACGTCACAGTGGTGCAGTGAGTAGCAAGGTCACTGGTTAGAGCCTCGGCTGGGTCAGTTGGCATTTCTGTGTGGAGTTTGCATGTTCTCCCTATGGGTTTCCTCCGGGTTCCCTGGTTTCCCCTACAGTACAAAGATATGTAGTACAGGAGAATTGGTTAAGCTAAAATTGTCCATAGTGTATGTATGTGAATTAGTGTGTGTGTGTGTATGTTTCCCAGTGATAGGTTGCAGCTGGAAGGGCATCCGCAAATTATTGATTATTTTGATTTATTTTAATAAAATATAAATTATTATTGATATGATAAACAATGGCGGCACAGTGGCACGCTTGCCTCACAGCAAGAAGGTTGCTGGTTCGAGCCTCGGCTGGTTCAGTTGGCATTTCTCTGTGGAGATTGCATGTTCTCCTTGCGTTGGCAAGGGTTTCCTCCGGGTGCTCTGGTTTCCCCCACAAGTCCAAACACATTCACACACACTGTCATACACTACGGTCAATTTTAGCTTACCCAACTCCCCTATAGTGCATGTTTTTGGACTTGTGGTGAAAACCGGAGCTTCCGGATGAAACCAATGCCAACAGGAGGAGAACATGCAAACTCCACACAGAAATACCAACTGACCCAGCTGGGACTCAAACCTGGACCTTTTTGCTGTAAGGCAAGCGTGCCACCGCATTGCCTATATGGTTACATGTTAAGTGTAAATAGCACACACGTTTAACTACACTGCATGAGTATAAATATGTTTAGTAGATTGTAGATAGTATATTTTATCACATGTATACATATTATAGATAACAAACCAAATATATAATATTAAAAATATATATATTAACACAATATGAATCTGTATATGTGTATCGTTAATTTAAATGTATTTCTTTATTTTAAGCAAGCACAGGACTGGTGTTTGTCAATCAGTCGATGAACTGGAGAGCCGCTCAGAGTTACTGCAGACAGAATCACATTGATCTGGTCAGTGTGAGGAACCAGAATGAGAGTCAACAGCTGGAGAATTTTATTAATGGCAGAAACTCATCTGGATCTGCAGTCTGGATCGGTCTGTTCAGAGACACATGGCAGTGGTCAGATCAGAGCAACTCCTCATTCAGATACTGGGATACTACTCAACCTGATAATTATAAAGATCATGAAGACTGTACAGTGACCACTCAGAAAGGTCTGGGACAGTGGGCAGACTTCTCTTGTGATAACCAGTTTCCTTTTGTGTGTCATGAAGGTGAGCAGATCCTCCAAACACACTCAATCCATCATCAGCTCCAGATCTCTTAAAGTTGACTCTACATGTCTGACATGACAGATTCCTCCACAGTGTTTGTTCTGCATGTTGTTGTTGATCAGTCTCTCTCTAGTTTCTGCTTTGTTTTGTGTCCAGATAAACTGATTGTGATTCAGCAGAAGCTATCATGGTCTGAAGCTCTGAGATACTGCAGACAGAATCATGTGGATCTGGTCTCGGTTCAGTCAGTGGAGATGCAGCGTCGTGTGATGAACGTGGTTAAACTGGCGTCTACTGAGGCGGTGTGGTTGGGTTTACACAACTACTGCAGCATGAACATGTGGCTCTGGCTGAGTGGAGACATGGTGTGCTATCAGAACTGGGCTCCAGGGAACGGCAGCACACCGGAAAACTGCAAACTGGAGAACAGAAAAGGAGCAGTTCAGTCTGGAGGAGATCAGACCTGGATCAGCCTTCCTGAATCTCACAGACTCAACTTCATCTGCACTAACTACTGAGAGAAGATGTGTCTGTGTTTACTTACATTCACTGTTTTCTATATTTATATGTTTGATTTATTTTTTATAGGAGTATAAAATCCTAAAATCCTATAGTGAATCTGCAGTTTGTGCTTTAAAAATTGTCAAATGTTTTATTTCTGTTTTATCTCTCATAATAAAATGTGTTCTTAAAGTTTTAACATCAATGTTTAAGATTAAGGTTTAAGGTTCTTGTGTTTAAGGTGTAAGATTCTTTAGATGTGATGTGTGTGTTTTCAGTTTTCTAGATCTGCTGGTGTTTGGTCTCTCTGTTTTGTTGAATGTGATTCTGTGAGCAGCAGATCTTCAGTAAATCATGATTTGTGTCTGAGCTGAATGAAATCTGCTTTATTCAGAAAGGCAGAGAGAAGTTTGGGTATAAAATGTGATTGATCCTAAATCATGAAATAAACAGAACATCATCTAAAATAAACTGATCTACAGTCAGTGTTCTTGTGTCCTGTTTATTTGCCTATGTCTCTCCAGCCCTCACCCGACTACTGAATCAGCTCTGCTCCCTCTGCGCTTACTTCCTGTTTATGCTGTATTTCAGCGAGAGCTCAGGTCATGCTTCCTTGCAAAGTATTGCCAGTTTACCTGCCTTACCAAGCGTTGTTCCAAGTGACTTTCATGACTGCTATCCTGTGTATGACCCTGCCTGCCTTGATCATGTACGTTCTGTTTAGGACTGACTGTTGTTATGCTGGACCTCTGCCTGCACTCTTATTACGTCGTCTGGATTTGCCGCTGTGTTTGTTGATTGGTTTGGACTGCATACATGTTTCCGACTCTCCACCTGTTTAATTGTTGATGTCTCTACCTGACCCCTTTAATAAACTTCTGCATATGGATTCTAACACAGCCTCAGCCTCCTCGTTACATGTGTTTAGCTGTTGATTTATTTGGCTCAGATTTAGTCTAGAAATTTCAGCTTTTGGAATGAATGTTTCTGCAGGGGTGATGGTTTTTATTGTAGCGCCTCCTGCTGGTGTTTGAGAGTTTGACAAGAGTGATGATTCTAATAGTATCTAGATGCAGCCTTGATTATGCAAATCTCAGTGATGCAATGTCAGACACAACGCATTCAATGGAGCGAGTGATGTCACTGTGAGGGGTGGGGTTAGGGGTGGGATTAGGTGAGCCCATTAAAAAGTCCCGGATGCAGCTCAGATTGCACTGCACTAAGTCTGCATCCAGCCCTTTCTTGATGATTCTGCTCTCAGAGCTTCCTAAAGTCCAGTGTAGGTCATTTTCTCAAACTATGTCTTCAAAAATGGTTCAACAAAAATATTTTTAGTATTATTTTTTAGTATTTTAGACCAATCTCCTGTAACCATCCCATTTTTTATTTCTTCTGGAAAACTCCAATAATTTCCTCCGGAACCCCCAAAGATTTTTAGACTCTCCGTGTTTGATTAGCTATAACAATGTGTTAGCTATAACAAGCTTTCTGTATATACACACAAACATAGACAGCACCAAACAAGCAACACACAGCATCACGCTCTCTCTAATTCACACACATAAACACACACACACACATGCTATTGTTAGACCGCCCACTCCCGTTCAAATTATACCAGAGTTACTGACCGCTCCCGTGCTTTATTCTGGAGAAGTATCCACAAGTATCGCTGTAACAGCCAAGAGGAGAGAAAAAGTCACGCCAGCAGGTCAACAGGCCACAGCGAGAGAGAGAGAGAGAGAGAAAATAAAAGTAAACCCAATTTCTCTCTCGCAGTGAAATAGAAGCTTCTGCTGTAGGTGTCAGTAAAAGACTGTCCAGCAAACACACATGCAGTGAAATTGAGCAGTTTTTGCATTTTTAAGTAGTTAGAGCCAGGGGCGGACTGGGACAAAATTTCAGCCCTGGCACTGTTGCCTTGGATTGGGTCGGCCCATCTTGAAACCAGGCGGCAGTTGCCGATTGGGCCAAATGCTTAACATTTATTATTATTATTATTTTTATTATCACCATCATAATATCACATCTAGCAAGAGATAAAAGGTTTCTGCACTTAAAAACAATACATACAAAAAAAAAAAAAAACTGACCGGCCCAGATTTAAAAATTGGTCCGGCCCTTCTGGCATTTGCCAGAATTGCCAGATGGCCAGTCCGCCCCTGGTTGGAGCGTTGCAAATACTCGTGTTCGCCTCCCTCGACCAAGCAATCTATGGCAACATAGTGCATATGAGATAAATGACGTCAGTACATAATAACCGGTTATGATTATTACTGAACCGATACCGAATTGTCCGCATCTGCATTGTGGTGCACCGAAGAAACAATTAATTTTGACACCACTAATAATGACACACCTCAATGCCTTCAAGAGGCTGCGTCTGAAACCGCCTACTACTCAGTAGGTACTGCGTTTGAATTTAAACGTACTATCCAGATACTTCTCGCATACTGATTTTCCAATTCTATGAATTCAGACATATTACTCGACTCACACACTGATATTAACAGACTGTATAGTATGGAAGTATGCAGTTTCAGACATAGCCAGAGTTTTCATCACTTGGAGCAAGTCACATGCTTTTTTTATCAGTGCTTTACAGATTGATCTGCCTTTTTATAACTAATGTAACAGAGATGAGCAGAACACAGAGATGCGATATGTACTTTTTTATAACTGAAATGACAAATTATATAAAAAAGTTGATGTTTCAAGCAAATGCTATTTAATTTTTAAGAGCAAACACACTAAAAGATGAACAATAGACTGAATTATTTGATGATAATTGAAGCTGAATGTATTTTACAGCAGATGGAGACAGTCAAAATAGGAGTATTGGAGTCTTTAAGTTCACATTTTCAAGACTAAATGCCCCTAAATGCACATCCAGTCATAATTTTAGAGATAACTTGAGATAAATTGTGTTATTCAAAACTCTTTATTATAGTGTTTGAGAATAGCAGAAGGTTTATCTGGTAATACACAATGTACCTGTGATGTTCTAGATCAGCCATAAATCTGCATAAGTTGTGTTTTTCAGCACTGAACTTTCATCAGTCGCTCTTGATCTTGACAGGTTTGTTTTATATTTAAAAAATCCTTTATTAAATGAAGGATCTGCTGTAAGATTCATCACTGTTGATCATCAATGTCCTGAAAACACAAATGAGGAGAGAAAAAATGCAGATGCTTTAGTAAAGTACACAAGTGAGCAGGACGAGTTTATGGAGGCCGAGACTAAAGAGCACAACATCAAGAGTTTCACTGATCAAAATCAGTATTTAATGTGCAAATTAAAAACACAACAGCAGTGATGCTTCAAAATTTCCAATCCTTGATTAAAACAGAAATCACAACCACAACACAAACCTGTTAACTTTTAAAAGTACTATATTTACTTCAGTTTTTACATGGAGATCCAGTTAAATTAAGCTGTTTAATGTATTTATGAACTGCAACAAACTCATCTCAACTGCTGATAAACTGCTGATTAAGTTCCAGGTCAAAGGGCGTTAACTCTAAATATATTATTTATATCTTTCACCCCTACTGGACAGATCAGGAACTACAGGGTAACACTAGAGTTCTAGAAATGCACAGTACTGTATTGAACACACTATTGAACCTCCAGCAAACACCAACAATCACAGCAGTGGCGACTGTCAGAGACTCTTTCAGCAAAACTTGAACATGACCCGTGACTGAATTCTCTGATGAACTGCAGCTCTGATGATGTCCAGCACTGGAGGAAGATTACTGAGGAGAAAAGTCAAACCTCCACAGCAGTGAAACTCCTCCATCTGCCACAGCGTGAGGGTGAGTGAATGACGGCTGAAGCTTCAGTGCTTTAATCTCTCAGTGTGCTGGATTTCACCATGTTTGCTGTTGTGTAGTGTTTGCTGTTGTGTAGTGTTTGCTGTGTTTACACTGTTTGCTGTTGTGTAGTGTTTGCTGTGTTTTCACTGTTTGCTGTTGTGTAGTGTTTGCTGTTGTGTAGTGTTTGCTGTGTTTACACTGTTTGCTGTTGTGTAGTGTTTGCTGTGTTTACCCTGTTTGCTTTAGTGTTGTGTTGCTGTTTTTGAGCTGAGCTGATTGTGTGTAGTGTTTGCTGTTGTGTAGTGTTTGCTGTGTTACCCTGTTTGCTTTAGTGTTGTGTTGCTGTTTTTGAGCTGAGCTGATTGTGTGTAGTGTTTGCTGTTGTGTAGTGTTTGCTGTGTTCACACTGTTTGCTTTAGTGTTGTGTTGCTGTGTTTGCTTTGGCAGTGTTTGATTTATGTATGCAGTGTTTGCTGTTTTTAAAGTTGCTGGTTTTGCAGTGTTTCCTCTTTGCTGTGATTTTTGGTTTCTGCAGTGTTTTTTCCTTGTGTTTGGTGTTTTCCTGGTCGCAGTGTTTGCTGTTTTTTGCAGTGTGTTTTCTTTATTGCTTTTGTTTTTCAGTGTTGTGTGCTATGCTGTGTTTAGTGTTTGCAGTGTTTTGTTTTTTCTCTGTTTTGTTGTGTTTGCTTTTGCAGTGGTTGATTTTCTTCTGTGTTTGGTGTTTCCCTGTTTTGCAGTGTTTGCTGCTTTGCCATGTTTGGTGTTTCTTCAGTGTTTGCTTTTACTGCTGTGTTTGCTGTTTTAACATGCAATATCTTTTCAGTGTTAGCTTTTACTGCTGTGTTTGCTAGTTAAAGATGTGATATCTTTGCAGTGTTTGCTTTATTGCAGTGTTTGCTATTTTGCAGTGTTTGATTTTATGCTTTATATAGTGTTTGGTGTGTTTGGTTTATGAAGTGTTGTTGTTTATTGTATTTATTTCATTTATTTATACAGGGCCAATGTACAGCATATAGAGGTAAAGTTGGTTTTATATTCTATATTTATAATAATATAATTTCATAAAAGTTTTATTTGCAAACTCTAAATGGCGAAATCATATTAGCAGCCAATGACTATCAAAGTTCAACATTGTTCACAGTCAAATAAACCGTGCTAATGTTGTTTTCAACTCATACTTGCATGCTAATTCCGATCGAATGTTCAGAGTAACA